GTAAGAGTATCAAATGTTTATTTTCACAAATCATAATTTCATATTAAAACATTGATCCTTTCAGGTTTTATCTAGAGGCCGAAACTTAAGACATTTAATCATGGTTAAATCAGATTCTAACCATAGTAATCTGATCGACGACGACAGATTTTAGTAACAACTATCTTTTTTAACTACGGCAGAAATTGAACCTTGGTAGAAGATCTCTTAAATGTCGGCTTCAGGGGTTGAAGAAGTTTGGGAAATTTTTGTTGAAGACGACTTTACTATCGTCTTCTCTTTACAAAGAATCTATTCATAACTCTTGTTTTGGGATACAAGGCTACCCACGTAGAATGAGACTTTAACGATTTTGATTCAGTTTTAATCAAAATGTATACGATTAAAAACTTTACAAAAGATAGTAAATACAGTAAGAATCAGATAACTATGTATTAGGAAGACGACATTAACACGATACTAATTTGTATTTAAAGGTCGTCGATAATCTTTGCGGCACGGCATTGATTCTTCAATTAACTTTTACATCTATTATTCTTGAAACAATATACCAAAAAGTAACCTAGTTCTGACAATTCCAAAAAGCCATTTTTGGGGCTTTGAATATTACCGGAGATATAAGAAATTACTTTCCGATTTCAATAATTATTAAACAAAACAAAACTTGTCAAAATCTAAACGAAAGGCACAATAAACCGGGCCACATTTTTGCCATGTCAAGACTAGGGTTTTTTTTTATTGATTATTACTTTAAGAATTTAACTTTCAAAATCGGTGTCCGAATTATATCAATTAGACGACCTTCAAGTCTTCTGTCAATAGTCATGTTTCGGTGGACACCCTGTAGTGTTACTAGCAAATTATCAAATCAGTTATCAAGTTTAATAGGTCTAATTACATTGCAGAAATGTTCTTTGAACCCTCAAGCACGACTGTGCGGAATTTATGCAGACTGTAGACTGTTTCCATTTATTCATAATGTCCTGCAATTGTAAACTTGTTTCTATCTGGGTCAAATCATTAAATAAGCTGCTTTCAAGGACTATCTTCAAGGAAGAAGATTTAATTCAACCTTGAGATTGTCATATTAAAATAGTGCAAGGTCGTCTTTGCAGTGTCATACTTTGTTTATAACCCTGTAAATAAAACATTGTTTCTCTCTTTTTCTTAAAATTTGGACTTGCTTTTAAATACAACATCTACAAAATATGATTGTGATTTTGACATTTGTAATAGAAGTCGTCAAATCCCCGAATTGTTAATCAAAGTTCGCAATTTTATCATGTCGTCACAAAATTACATTGTGAGACGTCGCTTTGCACTGCAGGACCAATCAATTTAAGTTTTAAGTCCTTTAAATAAGTTTTTACTTATCCAGTTTTATTGAATACGCCCTTATATATATTTTCTGAACTAAAATAATTTGTAACATTTCTCTCATTTTATAATTAAACAATTAAATTTAAAAAATAAAACTTCCAAGTGAAAAATAAGTAGAACAGTTGTTAAAATACGCAATTGTACAAATTCAAAGATTAGAATAACGTCAGTATAACACTCGATGTTTTTTCTTTTTGTTTAAATATTTTTCAGACAGTGGTAGGCGATTATATCAATACAATGAAGATTTTATTTAAGATTTAATTGTTAACAAGCTTTTTTCGAATTACAAGATTGCAAGTAATCAAAGAGAAGCTTTTCTAATTGAAAGCTTCTCTTGACTTCTATGTTTATGTACATCTTTGCTGTTTAAGAGCTTTATATTATGATATATAAAGATTTAAGTCGAAAGTCTTCTTTATTGTTTTGATATAATCGCCTACCACTATAGAACTTACACTGTATTCTTCTAAACATGAAAACTTATTTTCGGTTAAATCCTTATATAGCGGAATAGTGGCAAGGCCCTAACTATCAAATCCAACTATAAGGTCACGTGATAAGTTCTATATATATCTATCATAGGCCCCAATAAACAATATCCATATACATATATTAAATAATAAGCCGCGAAACCTATTACAGACAATCACACATTTTGTTCACATTTAACTGCTATGCAAATACAATCTGCTCATATTAACTATATTGTGGATTAGGTAAGATTGGGATTGTACAGGGTGTCCCACGAAACATGACATTTAATAAATCGTTATTTTTAGTCAAAAAATCTTTTGCTTCATTATCTTTTACTTTGAAATCAAGTTTAATATAACATGACTTTCATTTAATATTTTTATTGATCTTTGGTATCAAACAACTTGACAAATTATGGAAAAAGACATTCTAAACTATTCACCAACTGTCATGTTTCGTGGGACACCCTGTATTCGGGCCGAGAGAGAGGCCATTAAGTTGGGCCGAGCGCTGCGGCTAGGATAGGCTAGGGGGCCGAGCGCTGCGGCTATATTAAATTCACTTTGTTGTTAAATTTTGCTAAAATTTTTAGGATCATTACTTCAGGATTAGTCTTTGTTCCCCAAATACAATCTGCATGCATTTTTTTGCATGCATCTTTTTGCATGCATATGTGTTATATGCATATGTATGTATGCATATATAGCTGGTCAAATGGCTGGACCGAATGGGGGGGAAACCCATGTGTGCTCGGGGAGGAACATTGGCAAAATAAATTAGACCTTTTTTGTAAATCAAAAACTTTTTGTTTTAAAATCTAAATTTTTTCTTTAATTTTTTTTTATTCCACGGGCAACGCCAGGATCTTCAGCTAGTAATATATATATATATATGCACATTAGTATATATATATTTTTATGTCTGCTTATAGTTGACCAAACGTCTAGACCGACTGGGCTGACATTTTTTTAGGAAAACCATTCCAGGTGGAACGTTGGGGACTCCAGCTAGCATGTAATAAAGTAACAATAAAAGATAATAAAATCTTTATTTTCAGTAAATAAATGATTTCTTAAAAATTTTCCTAAATAATTGATAATGTTTAGTATCCTGAATATAGGATAATGTTTAGTGTCCTGAATATAGGATAATGTTTAGTATCCTGAATATAGGATAAAGTTGTGCTTATGGTAGCGATGTACATCACTTTAAATAAATATTATTTCATGAATATTTTTGATTTCCATTGCTTCACGGTTAATAGTATTTAATCAGTAAAAAAAATTTGTTGGAAGAATTTTCATGATCAATGATTAATTTGTGTACAATATATTTTAAATAAAAATGTTTTAATCAGATAATGGAAGCTCCAAAAATGTTAGCTGTACGATATGCGGCCACGCTTTGTAGGAAAATTGTTGAAAAATGTTATGCCAAGAAAGCTTTCAAAAAGTTGAAGATTTAATGATTAAAATTGGAAAGGAAAGTAAGTTTGAGGTAAAAAGTTTACAATTAATGTCATGTAATATATTCATAATTAAAAAATATTATCTAAAAATGAATTTTTTCAGTTAAATACATTTATATAAATAAATATTTACAGTGGTCGTCAAAAATATACAGAGATAACACTCAAGAATGATCGTCGTCTTCACTTTTTCTTTTTTTCTTTTACTCTTTTATTTTGTAGGACTGTTATACAGGGTGTCCTACATCGTTAATGACTTTTTAAATTACGATTTTCGGGACTAATCAGAAAATTTAAGAAGAGTGAATCATTTTGAAAAATTGTTTAAAGATTTGCAGAAAAACAAGGTTTTTCGAGTTTTATGCATTTTCATTCATTTACAAACATTTACATTGTCCAGTGTCCGAATTTAATGAATTTGAGCCGCGTCTCAAATCCGCCAAATACCGGGTTCAATTGAGCGCCGGCTTAAATCTTGAAACTTTAAATACAAATTTAAGCCGCGGTTCAAATTCAATCAATTCGGCATCAGAGCATATTTGCAAACAACTACTTATAACTTTTTCCAAGCTAAAAGAATAAGCAAAGACAATTTAATCGTTTCGTTTTGTTATTTAAACTTTTGAATTATTTTGAAGACCACTGTATGGTATTTTATGTACATTTTTTACATTGAGCTTTGAAATAAAAGAGACGTTTATAAATCTTTAAAAATAGATTAATTTTAGCTTATGCAACACTCAGACTTATTAATTTAAATAAAAATATTTAAAATTACAATTAAAATAGATATTGCTTTCCTTCATGCACTGTACACAAATCAGTGTTAAATAGTTAAATAATGCCCCAAAATGCGTATACTGGACAGCCGCCATAAAAGGAGTTTTATTAATCATCGAAATGTATTTAATAATTTGTGTTTTTGTGTGTGATAATTTTACTCCGAATAAAACTGTTGCCATGGAAACCTATCTTTATCTAAAAACTCCAGGTCATCATGTTAAAATGTACACGGTAAAAAAATATCTGGTTTTGCTAATTTTGCACAAAGTTACAGAGTACACTCTAGCTACGTATGTACAACAGTATGCATAATTATGTACTGTGAACGTACATGTAAGAATATTTTTGAAAATAAGTAAGGAAACGGAAAAATTCAAAAATATTATTTAAAACATTTGATTTTTCTTATTTCTCCTGTATCGATGGTTCTTGGTTCTCATATATATATTTACTTTTAAGTACAGTAAGTACAGTACGGTAAGTACAGTACAGTACAGTAAGTACAGTACAGTAAGTACAGTACAGTAAGTACAGTACAGTACAGTACAGTACAGTACAGTACAGTACAGTACACTACAGTACAGTACAGTACAGTGCAGTACACTACACTACAGTACAGTACAGTACATTACAGTACAGTACAGTACAGTACAGTACAGTACAGTACAGTGCAGTACAGTACAGTACAGTACAGTACAGTACAGTACAGTACAGTACAATACAGTACAGTACAGTATAGTACAGTACAGTACAGTTCAGTACAGTTCAGTACAGTACAGTACAGTACTGTACAGTACAGTATAGTATAGTACAGTATAGTATAGTACAGTATAGTATAGTACAGCACAGTATAGTACAGTTCCATACAGTTCAGTACAGTTCAGTATAGTACAATTCAAATATAAATTGAATATCTCTAGTACTAACTAGGTCCACATGTAGCATTTCTGCATCGGTATCAAATCAGGACGCTTCAAAATACCACTTCTTCTAAAATAAAATTTCATTTCAAAAATACAAATTTTTGATTATTAACTTTCATAATAAAAATACATGTATTCAAAATAAATATAATTTTCAAAATCCTTAAAAATTCAATTTTAAAATCTAAAAGAAACTTTCAACGTAATTTTTATGTGATCCTTTTATTTGAAAACTTGGAAGCCTGATTCCCAAGAAAACGATTCCTAATCCTTGTTTTTCTATCTGAAAATTTATTATTTCCAATTATAGTTTTCTGTGAAGGATTTATATAGCACAGACACCGAAGGATGTTGTGAGAATTCTAATCTTCTCGGTTGACAGAAAGACGACGTTTTTTTACTTTTAATTTAACTGTTAATGGACAACTTTTGGAATAAGCTAAACAACGCATGTAACTAAATATATTTTTTTAAGTTTAAAGACATACCCAACGGCTGCAGGCATACAACAACCAGCTGTCAGAGGCTTAGCTTTCTCTTGCAGCTCCACAGTCAGTTGTTGCTCTATTATCAGCTGTTGTTGATGCGCATACTGCTGTTCTAACAGCTGTTGATAATACTGCTCCTGTTGCGTAAACTGCTCAGCTGTTATTTGCTGCTGCTGAAGAAATGCCAGGAAATATTTTTGCTGCTCCTCATGCTGTTGCTGGAGCTGCTGTTGTTGAATCTGCTGCTCCAGAAGCTGTTGTGAATTGCTGTTAGGAACAGCTGTGTGTGCTGCCATACTTGATAAATAAACTGGGTCACTTCGTTTAGTGTCCTAAATAATTGATAATGTTTAGTATCCTGAATATAGGATAATGTTTAGTGTCCTGAATATAGGATAATGTTTAGTATCCTGAATATAGGATAATGATAATGTTTAGTATTCTGAATATAATAAGATGATAAATTCTTTAAATAATAAGATTTTTAGATTAATAAATAGAACAAAGATTGAGAGTGTGGTCTCCAGAAAATATGAGAAGGAAAACTATATTTGTAAGTGTATACACGAAAAAAGAATAACGTTTAGCAAGAAAAATAGGTTAAATATTAACGGGGGTAAAAGAAAATTTTAACTAAGAAAAGACAGGAAAAGAGGATAAATTGTACAAGGAAAAGGAGTAAATTGTACAGGGGAAAAGAGGATAAATTGTACAAGGAAAAGGAGTAAATTGTACAGGGGAAAGGAGGAAATTGTTCAAGGGAAAGGAGTAAATTGTACAGGGGAAAGGAGTAAATTGTACAGAGCAAAGGAGTAAATTGTACAAGGGAAAGCAGTAAATTGTACAGAGGAAAGGAGTAAATTGTACAAGGGAAAGGAGACAGGGGAAAGGAGTAAATTGTACAGGGGAAAGAAGTAAATTGTACAGAGGAAAGGAGTAAATTGTACATGGGAAAGGAGTAAATTGTACAAGGGAAAGGAGTAAATTGTACAGAGGAAAGGAGTAAATTGTACAAGGGAAAGTAGTAAATTGTACAGGGGAAAGGAGTAAATTGTACAGAGGAAAGTAGTAAATTGTACAGAGGAAAGGAGTAAATTGTACAAGTGAAAGGAGTAAATTGTACAGGGGAAAGGAGTAAATTGTACAGAGCAAAGGAGTAAATTGTACAAGGGAAAGTAGTAAATTGTACAGAGGAAAGGAGTAGATTGTACAGGGGAAAGTAGTAAATTGTACAGGGGAAAGGAGTAAATTGTACAAGGGAAAGGAGTAAATTGTACAAGGGAAAGTAGTAAATTGTACAGGGGAAAGGAGTATATTGTACAGAGGAAAGGAGTAAATTGTACAGGGGAAAGTAGTAAATTGTACAAGTAAAAGGAGTAAATTGTACAAGTGAAAGGAGTAAATTGTACAGAGGAAAGGAGTAAATTGTACAAAGGAAAGTAGTAAATTGTACAAGGGAAAGTAGTAAATTGTACAAGTGAAAGGAGTAAATTGTACAAGTGAAAGGAGTAAATTGTACAAGGAAAAGGAGTAACTTGTACAAGGGAAAGGAGTAAATTTTACCAGGAAAAGGAAAATTAAGATTGAGGTTTATACTAAATTAAATAAATTTTGTTACATTTATCAAACTATCAACGTACCTGGGAAAATGGGTTTTCTACTTCAGTTCTCTCTTGAATATACTGTGTGTAAGCTTGGTTCACGGGAGCCTAAACGAAATTTAAAAAATAATATTATTATTTTCAATGTTATCTCAGAAAACATATTTTTAATATGTTTTGTAAGAACATGTGTTCATACTATTTAAAGAAAAAAGATAACAACATGAAATTAATAATGCAAAATTTACATTCCTTTATAAAAAGCGGGTTTTTTGGTATGCAACAATTTTCATTTAATCCCGCCGGGATATTTTCATTAAAAGATACTTTGAAAATCTACAAAGGCAAAAAAATCCGCAAAATCCGCAAGCCCTCGGGTTTATCATTGAATCCCCTCTTTAAAAAGGAATGTCATTTACTCTCAGACAAATTAGAATCAATGGAAATTTACGCCCTCGGGTTTATCAATGAATCCCTCGGGGGTTTAAATTTCCATTGATTCTAATTTGTCTGAGAGTAAATGATACATTTTCAAAAAATCCGTTATCTTTATATATAAATTAGTAATCACTGTTTGACTGTATGTCTGATCAGAACTCTGTCACCCCTTGACCGATTTGCCTCAAATTTTGATTGGCCGGAACTTGGTAGAACCACTTGAATGTTTTTAGCTTGGTTTGGAAATTCTAAATTGAATACGTTGACTTTAGATCACTTTATATCTTAATATGGAGAGAACATTGTTGAAAGGCTTCTCAGATTCAAAACTTGATTGAAGCCAAAAAAAGTGGATTTAGGGGAAACGTTGTCCATATTTTTAGAGCAAATGCTTTACGCTGTAAAAGGGGGGGGGGTATGGAAAGGAACTGAGTTTTTGCCACAAACTCAAATTTCCTCATCTCAATATTTATAAAACCTGATGGTGGAAATCTTTTTTTTCAAACTTAGATTATTTGATCTTACCGAATTCATAGTTCGGAGGTCACCGGCATTGGGTTTTAAAGATAAAGGGATTAGAAAATCAAAGTTTGTGGCAAGCACTCATTTCCTTTGAAGGGAGCATGGAAAATGTGCATATTTGCCACCCCCCCCCTCTTGATAAATAACTGTTAAATGTTAAATCATTTACCTCCATCTCATCATCATCCATCATCATATCTGTCATAGCACCAGCCAGCTGGTCAAGCTGGAGCTGAAGCTGCTGCCCATTGATTTTATAGCCTCCGCCACCACCAACCATTCGTCCGCCTTGAACACGTAGTGGGGCGGAGGTAAACAGATTGTTGTCTGTAGAAATAGATACACCCTGGACAATAAGTAATAATTAGTAAATTTGTACCTGTACCTGTACCTGTACCTGTACCTGTACCTGTACCTGTACCTGTACCTGTACCTGTACCTGTACCTGTACCTGTAAGTCCATCCTACTCAAGCTATCCATCATATTGAATTCTCTGTCCCGCATACACTGCATCTCGTAAGCCTGAATAAATTACACGTGTTACAGCTTACTTAGCTTACACATGTTTTTATATTTGTTCTAAGCAAGCTCAGTTTTATGAAAATAATAATAATAATAATAATTATAATAATGATAATAATAATAATAATAATAATAATAATAATAATAATTATACTGTAATTTTTCTGATCGAATTTAAGTTTTTTTACCACAATTTGAATTAAAATTCGAATATTTTTTAATTTCTTTTTAATCTACAGCAATTTAGTCTTTGCCAGAAATTCAGATTTTTAAATCCCTATATCTTTGCAGTTTATGGTGTAAAGCTTTGATATTTCAAACTTAGATTATTTGATCTAATAGATATTATAGTTTGAAAAATCTAAGGTCTACGATATTGTGTTGAAAAGATTTAGAAATTAAAAAATCAGAGTTTGTTTCTAAGAAAGATAATACAAAGAGATAGCAGAGGTTTATTATTTCCCCCCCCCCCCTCACTAGACTTCAGCATGGTCATGATTGTGGTCCATCTTTTATCCAATTTTGCCAATTAAGATAAAAAATCCAAAAATTTTCTAATAATTTCTAATACTATTACTATTTTCACGTTTTTGACTTTAAAAAAGTTAGTCATTCTTAATTTATCCTGCCAGGAACGATAATTTACTACTTAGGACTACACACTACACAGATCTACGATTAATGGACTAATTAGTGGACCAATATGACTAGTGGATGAATTACAAAAAAACTGCTGCAGGCTGTAGTGGACTTTATATAAATAGTGAATATGACTATAAGCCAGGGACAGACACTAAGAAATAAATGAAAAGACACTAGAACAAATTTTTTTTGGTGGCGCTTCGCGCACATGTTAATAATTTGCTCATGTCGTTCATTTTAAAGCTGTTTAAAGAAGTAAAATTTTTTAAACACAAGAACAAGCTATAATTATTAAGAATTTGGTATAATAACGAGCACAGAGCCAACCCTTCAACGATTAAAAAATGCTATTTTTTTACTTTAAATTCTGAAAACACCGCTTTTTTAGAAAAAATTTTCGCCAACCTCAAGATCAAATTTCGTCCCCCCCCCCCTCACTAAAGTACTAGTTGCGCCACTGATTATGAACACAATTGACATAAAAAGAAATATTCTGTCATTTCTCTGCACTTTCTTGTTTTTTTACATAAATGCTGCAAATAATTTAAAGAAATATAACTGGAAAGATTTTATATTTGAAACCGGTTTTCAGCAATGCTTTTATCTGAACAAAACAGAATAAACTATTAGCTAATGTAAAAATGTGCAATGTTTTAAACAAAAACATTGCAAATCTAGATTTATAAACTTAAATATATTTAATTAACAATCGTCGATTTCCCCATTCGCAATTAGCCAATTTTTGACATATTTTCATGTTTTTTAATTTTCTTAATTCAAACAATAAAAAAATTACACTATTAACTTGCTATATATGGTTGACTGAAGAAAAAAAAAATTTGCATTCAATTAGTTTTTTACTTTGTGGCCCAATCCCATCTTCTCTCATTAAGTATAGTTTAAAGACCTGTATCCCAGACCTTCGGCTGTCTATTTAATTCTCTGTTTTTCTGCTTATTTCTCTGCGATCTGTTAGTTTCCCTGTTTATTTCTCTTTTTGTCTGCTTATTTCTCTATTTGCCTGTCTATTTGTCTGTTTGTTGATTTCACTTTTTGTCTGTTTATTTCACTGTTAGTCTGTTTTTTTCTCTGTTAGTCAGTCTGATAAAATATAGGAAGAGCTTTGAAGGTCAATGCTAAAATACTGTTATAATGAATATCAAGACGTAGATATATAGATAGATAGATTGATAGATAGATAGATAGATAGATAGATAGAGAGATTGATAGTTATATAGATACATATAGATAGATAGATAAATAAATCTACACTTGCAGTTCTTCTGATATAATATTGTTTGTTTTTTTATTTCCTTTTCTCTTTTTTATGCTAATTTTAATAACTTTATTCTTACTTTTATTCTTATGAACCTAAACCTTTATATTTTCTGTGAAATACCACAAATTACTCCCCCTCCCCCTCTCCTCTCCGTTAGCCTCCCTAGCTACAGCCTGCAAAATATCTAAGTCAGCAATAGTGCGTAAAAGAGGCCTGGGTGTACTCTTTGCGTTATATAATGCGTAAATGCCTAAACACGCAATAAATGAGGCTGGATTGTGTAATTTTAGAGATAAATTATATTTCAAAGATTCAGATTTACACAAAATAAATTTTTTGATTCAGTTTGGAAAAAAAACTGAGAAATGAATTTAACACAATTTTTTATATAAAGTATTTTTTGTCTCCAATATTTTGGGTTGAAAACAAACTTTTTAATGCTTAGTAGGTTTCTCTTATTTGAACTTTAAATCAATGGTAAACAAGTTTTGAAGTACAAAAAACTGTGTAATGTTTTATCAGGTTCCCTGAATACAATCTTGTTAAAAATATTAAAATACTCTTTCCTAGATAAGAAAATATTGATAAGAACATTTCAAACACTTCACATATTTAAAAAAACATATTTCATTTTTACTGCTCAAGTTTTTTTAAGATGCCATGTGATTTTGAAAGCTTTATTTATTCTATATTCCCTTTTCTGCTTTTAACATTATCCCATTGTCTTCGTTTTTTGAAAATCCCAATCCATCCCCCCTCTCTTCTTCTTGTTTCACAAAAATGTTGGCATCTTAAGTTATTTATGTGCCCCCCCCGCTCTCCATCTTTAAAGATCTGACATTTATCTTGAGGAAAACTAGCTGTTTCTAGGAATAATTATTATTTAGTTCTTGAATGTTTCTGGTTGAGAAGTTTCTTTGTTTGACTAAAATATGCTTATAGTTGGTTTCATGCTTAAAGGGTTAGGTACAGTTGGGGAGGGGGGGGCTGGATGAAGAGGGGCGTAGGCCAAGGGAGGGAGAGATGAATGCATTATAAAAAATAATTTTTTGGTTTTTTTTTAAGAAATAAAAAGTAGGATTCAATGGCGGGATTTTTCTTTTGAATGAGTTTGAACTTCGGGGAAAGGTTATTTTCAGTCGATATTATTTTTTAAGAATAAGGTTGTTCCTTGGAGCGAGGTTACTCAGTCCAGGTTGTTTATAATACTTTGAGGCTGATGGAGGTCAGCACTAGGATCAGCCTCCGTCCTCTACTCTAGTTTTCAGGGTCAAGGACACATAAACAGAGGACACATTAGGATGGACGGGGAAAGGTGGAGGAAGGAGATAGAGGGGTAAAAAGATAATTAGTGTCGAGTGGGGAGGATGGAAGAACGGGGGGTAAGAGGGTGTAATAAAGTGACGGAATGACACAAACTTTGTTCTTTTGACATCTTCATTCTGGCAGGGACATACATAAAGGTAAGGACCCCCCGGGGGGGGGGTATGGTAGCTGAGCCCCCTTTAGATATTAGATTTAATTCCCATGTATTTACAATGTGTTTAACAAGTCCGCCTTCTCATGTGTAAACTATATCTACAAAGGATTAGACTTCAGAGACTTCAGTCAGTTTTCTTGCATTCAGGGTTCCTTGTAGGCCAAACCTGGCATATTTCTGTGTTTTATCATAACCATAAATATACTCAATTAAATGCAGAAAACATACAAATAAATAATAATAATAAAAAGTTATAACATTGCTAATTATTTATTGCTAAATAATTGTAAAAAAATATTTTAACATAGTAATTATTTCTTTCTAAATAATAATTATAAACATTTTTTTACATGCTTATTATTTGTTTAAAACGAATTTAACACTATAAAATAAGTCAAACATTTTATTATTTATATTGGCAAATTATTACAAGATTTTTTTTGATTTTCTTTAAACACTTGACTTTGAAGGTTTTTACGTTAGATATACATACACATAAATATATAGTTTCTAATAATTCATTATCTAATAATTCTGATAACAATTTTTGCAATTAAAACCGTACATAAATATTTCCATGGAAAATATGCAGCATTTTTTTATCATAAAAATTTAACAATATTTTTTTGTTTTTAAACATTTTTCTCATGAACAAAAGTGTACAAAAATTATAATAAAATTAGTTAGTAAAAATATCAAAATAAAACTTTTTAATTAAAAAATTGAAAACTGCGTTTTTGTTTATCAACATTTTATTTACTTTACAAAATGTATAATAATTAATCACAGTTGTCATAAAATAAGAAAAATATTTAAAGAAAACTTATTAACATTTTGAAAAATGTAATATCAATTTTCTTAGATGCTTAAACGTTTTTTTTCATTTTATAAAAATAATTTTGTCACTAAGTACAGAGTTTATTTTTTCATGTCATCACCTTGTTTAGAAGTGATCCCTGTACCCTATCCCTAGAAGCTACCCTATCCCTGTCCATCAACAATTGTGTCACACAAAGTACAGAGTACACAGTAACCTTGAATCCTAGAACAGTTCTAGTTCACTATTTTGACGTTACTGCGACTCACCCAGAAATCCTCGAATCTTTGTTGAACCAGCTGACAGACTGGCACTTTGTGACGTAATAGACAATCAGCTGAGCAGATAAACAACTGAGNTATGTCCTAAAACTTATGAAAGTTTCAATGAATCATTCCTATTTCAAAGAACCAAAAGGTATTTTCAAAACCCTCAATGGATTTTCAATGGGCGATAATTCTGCAGCGCGTGGGAGCGAAATAATTTTAAGAATTCACGAACTTGATTTTTTTAGAAACATAAATCACAAAAAACTGGAAAACACTCTCACAAGATACCTAAGATTCAGGGATGACGTTTCAGTGCATGTAGTGGGGGAAATAGATAAAATGCTGGAAGTGATGAAAATGATCACAAATGGATATCCAAAATGTATCCAGTTTAATGTTGAAACAAAACTCATATATGGGAAATTCTTAAATATAAAAATATTCAACATGCCCGGTGAAAACAAACCAACAACGACAGTTTTAAGAAAACCAAACTCAAAATTTGACATTATATGCAACATATGTCTTGTTTTATTATATAGATTATAAAAATAAGATAGATAATACAAAAAAAAAAAAATAAAGATAATAGTATCTTGGAAAGTGGAAACCCTAATAGGTAGTAGGTGCTGAAATCAGAAATACCTAGTATTCTAATTTTACCTTAAATTACATTTAAATTAAATGATAAGCAAGTCACCCAATCTTTAAAATTTAGTTTCCTTTTGAATTATTTGTAATTAAAACAAATATATTTTTTGGCAGCAGGAGCATTTGTTCTTTACTTTTACTTAATTCTATATCCTGCTTTTATAAGTACTTTTTTTCTCTTTCTATCTATTATACTTTTTTCCTTTTTTTTCTTTGTTTTCATTCGCCATTTATTTTCCTTTTCTTTATTTTCTGTATGGTATGGTATGGTATGGTAATGGCGCAAATTGAATAATTTTTTTATTTCACACAGTATTGCTAATTACAGAGAGGCAAAATATTCAATGGAGTCCACAACTATAGGGCGTTAAAATGAGTGTTCGCGAAAAATTAAAGGGGGTATGGGCAAATATCGAATTGAATTTGATATTGATGCTGCTAATTGTACTTTTATCTGTTGCCTCTATAAGAAGAAAATAGTTAAAAACGCCTTAAACTCAAGAACCATGTAAAATCACAGAGTTGCATTATTGCATTCAGATATCAAATAATTCCATTCAATTGAAAACTAATCAGTCAGATATTACAACCTATAAATGTCGAATTCAATTCAAATAAATTTATACAAATAATTTATATTTTATATTTTATTTTATATTTTACTTTAGAAAATATTCATTCCTGAAATTTCGAAGATTTTTGATAACGAAGATGACATTTCATATTTTCCAAAAATGTTCGAAAATCCAGCGCCAGCCCATTGAAAACAAGTTTTAACAAATGTTAATTTAAAAACAAATTGTATGGACAGTGGACAGTGGTGCAACTAGCCACCTCGTAGAAAAATTTATCAAAAAAGCGAGGTTTTCAGGATTTCAAGCATTTATTAATTGTTGAAGGGTTGGCTTATATACTTTCAACAGATTTACAATGAATGACATGAGTAAATTAATTAAACATGTGCGCGAAGCGGCAAAATATTTCTGTTCTTTTAGTGTCTTTTTTAGAATTAAAAATGACTGCCTTTCTTTAATTAGAAAACGAGAAAAAATTAGGAAATTCGATTAGTAATGACGGGCGAAGAATTAAAGAAAAATACTTGCATTTTTTTTAATTGACAAAATTGAGGGGGGGGGGGGGGGAGCAAGAGGGGGATGAAAAACTCAAAGGGGGGGGCAAAACTTGGTAAGCCCCCCCTTCCCTAGTCGCGCCACTTTTCATGGAAATATCACATCACATCACTCTAAAAGATGCATGATCCAAGCCGTTTCAACATGTACTGTAATGCACTTACTTGTACGGTCCAGTCTGGACTACATAGTAAAAAGTCGATCCAGCATGCTTTATGCAACCATTGTAGCCCGGCCCGGCAAGACCACAGTGAAATAAATACAACTCTATTTGAAGGGGAAATGACAAACATATCTCTTGTTAATTGCTGTTAAAAAAACATTTCTTCAAATTCTAAGCATGCATTATTTTATATTTGAGGAAGATAATTTTGTTCTACCTTAAGACACATTAATATTCATTTTAAATATTTTAAAATTTTTGGTAACAAGTTAATGTTAACTAATATATAATATTCGAAAAGTTTGCGGACCATCTTTATTTTTAAGCCCTTGAGAGTAGGACTGGGGGAGTCCTTCCTAGTAAAGGATTGTTCTTTCACAGAAACAAGAATAATTATCAAGAAAAAGAACGCAGACATAAAAAGCTTTCTTAAAAATATTGAAACTATCTAAAAATTAAAAATGTGGATGGACGAGTAATTGGTTGAAAAGAAAGTGTTCATGTTAAAAGCGTTCTAAATCTAAATGGTCTAATATTAAATTATTTGATTGAAAATGAGGAATAAACGATTTTCAATAAAAAGGAATATGTCCAGCTTATTTTCCGAATAACTTTTCTTAGCTCAGAACAAAATTTGTATTTTACCATCAATTTTAAAGAACATTTGACGATTATAAGGAGTCAAAATAGACCAAAAAAATAACTACATTTTCAACAATCATTTATGTAGTAAGTTGTGTAAGATAAAAAACCTTAATCTTAATATAATTCCAAGGATAAAATTAATTATCCAATTTGTGCTCTTTTACTCTACATTAAATAGTTTTCAAATTATCAAATTGTATGTCTTTTGATATATATATTTAATATTGATACTACAAATGCAATTAATTACATGGTTACAATAATTTTTTGATATTCTTAAACGAATAAATAATTCTTTAATATTTACACATAAATATAAATTTTTAATTAAAAAAAAATCAAATTTTCAGATAGAATGTTCCTTTACACCGTCTTAACGTGAATTGATAACAATAAATATATTTTTCTGCAGGTCATCGTCAAAGGTTATTGCTGCAGATTTATCTAGGCTTGTTAAAACAAAATAATAGTTTGAATTGGTAAACTTTAGGTCACTTATCTTATCAGAATGAAACATTCTTTATGATGTAAATGTATGATTTGAGTGTTTATCAAGTTTATTTCAGTCTAATTGCTTAGTGTTATAATTAATTAACTTTTTTGGTCAGAGAAATGAAAAAATCTGTCTTTAAAAAATGTCAAAAAAAAGTAGAATTGTCTTTGAAAATTTTAAATCCCCAAGAGCTTTACTTATTTTCCTCGGTTTTTAATTGTATTGTACATTTTATTGTAGTGTATAATTAAACTGTTCAGGTTTACATGTGAATAAAATTAAACTATTCAGGTTTACATGTGAATAAAATTAAAAATAAATTTTCCAATTGAAACTTATGTAAGCATATAAATAATAAAATCAATGATGAATTTGAGGATACAAAGATATAAAAATAAATCCAAAAAATGTGGAAGAGTATACTTATGCAAAAATAGGCATGAAGCTTCAACTTTAAAAGATTTGAACAGAATTGGTGAACTTAAGGCATAGCTTTTGCATTAAGGTGTTCAAGTTTTTTCACCTTTCATGAATATATTGTTCAAGGATATATTGTTACAAACAATGAAATCACATTAATTTACAATTAACTACATTTTTTACATGTCATTGACAGCCTTTGCTCTCTCCCTGACCTTTGCTGAACATGTGTACAGTCTGTATGCTTTAACCCTAAGCTGAACATGTGTACAGTCTGTATATTTAACCCTAAGCTGAACATGTGTACAATCTGTATATTTAACCCTAAGCTAAACATGTGTAAAGTCTGCATACTTTAACCCTAAGCTGAATATGTGTACAATCTGTATATTTAACCCTAGGCTTACCATGTGTAAAGTCTACATACTCTATCCCTAAGCTGAATATGTGTTTAATCTGTATGCTTTAAACCTAGGCTGAACATGTGTACAATCTGTATGCTTTGATCCTCAGTTCATTATCTGAGATGGCAAGCAGAATAGGTTTTAGTGATCTTGACACCATAAAAACAGACATGCACACCTAGACATCATGTTATTAATCATCAAGATGATCATTGAACACTTTTTGTCGCTTTAGAATTTCAAAAGCAGAAAAAAATTTGTTCTATTCTTAAACAACATATTTGTCAAGGGTCAAATTAGTGTTTGGCACTTTTTGGGGTTTTCTGGTTTTTGAAGAGCTCTACATAAATCTAAGTGAGCCCTGCAAATATTTAGTTTTCGACAAACTGATGTCAAACATATCCAGAATTAGTTACACAACATCTTTCCCATCAGCATGACTTAAAGAGTGGGTTAAAATATTTCCTGGGAGATCGTAACTATCTGAAAGAAGGTATGAGCAAAAATGAACAATAACCTATTACTTTGTTAGCGTTAAAAAGGGTTGTTTATTTTTTATTTTCATTTTCATTAATTTTTTATTATGTAAAACTTTGCAAATTTTAATGAAACCATTTAAAAGTTCAAAGCTCATAATTTTTAAAATTAAGCAAATAATTATACCCATGTTATGAATTTTTTTAACGCAATTATATTAACTATTTAAGTAAAAGAAAATTTCCATTGTATTTAATTAATGTTTTTTTTAGAAAATATACCATGCTTCCACTAAATCAAAATCTGTTGAAAATTTTAATTGCAAGATTTTTAGGCACAAAAATTTACCTTCCAAGCAATGGCATATTCTTCCACGTCCTCATTTGTATTCTAAAAATAAAACACCTTTGATATTTTATATAGAGACCTTACAGTAATGATTGATTGGTTTGAATCTCAGTTACCAATTACTTAACACTATTCTGGATCAATTTGGATTGTTAAAGGACTATAAAACCTATTCTGAAGCTGTTGATAACCTATTAAAATCTTTTGTGAATTAAAGGTAGACCCACAGTAAAGAGAAAAGTGTGATATGCTAAAAAACGTTTAAGAGAAGATAATCCCGGATCAATTCAACTTAGATTAATCCTTCTAAGATTTTAGGCGTTTTTGATGGCTTCACAAGAATCTGGGATGCAAATCCTATTTCTAAATTGCGTGCTGGACAAGTTTGCTTTTATTGCTTTTATTTTCAGAAGTTTTTACTGGTTTTTCATTGGCGCCTTTACAGAAACAAATTGAATCTTTGCCGCAAACTCAAATTTTCTAATCACTTTGCATCCTAATCGTATAAACCCTTGATATTTAAAAAAATCTGAGTTTATAACAATCTTTTTTAGTATAGTTTCAATCTTAAGATAAAAATTAATTATGAATTTGATTTTAATAGTTCAAATGAAACCTCTAATAGATGTGTTTTACCGTATAAAAGAGTGTAGGAAGGAACAAACAGAGTAGAGTGACCAGTAAAAGGATGAAAATCTGGATCATCTTCAAACATGCCTTTAAATAAAAATTATTATCTCTTTTGGTAACAAAAGGTCAAAATCACAATATTACTCTTTTAGATGTAATTGTTTTCCCTGCAATTATGTTTACAGGTTCAACAAACCCCCAAAACAGTAAATTGCACTATAAATTCTTTTATTTACCTTGATCATTGATGAGATCTGAGACTGAAAATAAAAATTAATTATTTCATAGCTATAAACTTATTCAATTTTTAATTTTGTTTAATGAATGATTTTTACCTGAATATTTCCCTGGTTCAAGTTTATGACCTAAGATAATCAGAGTATTAGTTTTTTAATGCTTGGGATAAATGAAATAAGAGCTGGACATTTTGGGAAAGAAGAAAAGTCAACTTTTGTGTTTTTACTCCTTAAGTCTAGCTTTTCAGCTACTTTTTTTAAAATGCCACTCAATATATCAACTTAAAATACAAACAAAACCCCATACTCAAAAAAATAAGATCTGTTAACTACCAAAGATGCAATCCCTTCTTATCAAAGCTAAAAACAACATAACAAACAATATTCTCTAGTTGCCTGTGAGTGGTGTCTTCTAAGAAACTGAACTGGAGGTCTTGGAGGTCTTTGCCTTTGAGGCTGAATCTGAACTGGAAGTGTGACTGGAACTGATATCAGAGTTTCATCACTTAACCTAAAAGTGATTTTAGAGTAAGAATAACCAAGATTCATTTACAGTTTTCGGATGACAAATAAAAGAGTAGATTCTTTAAAGATGCGATTGCCTTTGTGTTTGCCTCCTACCCTAAGCTACCAATGTTTTTATCCTTATAAGATATTATTTTCCCTTGCCTTATCCATGGTAAATGGTGGTTTTATAGATGCTACTTAAAGTTTTATTTTTGTTTTTGAGACTGTTTGGCCTAGTCATACCTAAATTTAGAGACAAGTTGCTGAGGCCCTTTCTGACATTTGAGGCTGTTTGTCCTTTTTCTACTTGAAGTTCAAGAAAGGTTGTAAAAATTCTGCCTGGAGTTTAGGCTGGTTTCCAAAGTCTTACCTAAAGTTCAAGACTGGTTGCCAATGGTTGCCTAGGCCCTTTCCAGGTCAACCTGGTCTTACTTGAAGTTGAAGACTAGGTTCCAAGGTTCTATTTAAAGTTTCAGATGAGATGGTCAGCACATACCTTAAGTGTGAGGCTGGTAGCTAAGTTCCTACCTAAAGTTTGAGGCTGGCTGTCCTGCTTCTACTGCCTCTAAATCTGTAAAGTCAACTGCTCCACTACAAAATTTAGAAATGTTTGGAAAACTTCAAGAATACAGTGAATCAAGTTTTATATTTGAGATTTGTTTGGATTTTCAGGGGCCTCACAAATATCTACAATATCTGAAAAAATGCAAAATCTTCTTCTCTACAAGTTTGCGTATGTCAAATTATGCTATTACAATTTACAAACTGTTTATTGCAGACTGTTAGTGTCTCATATCTTCTGAAAGAATCAAATATATTGCATAATTTGACAAATGGAAACTTGTAGTGAACATTATTTAGTAATTTATAAATTGGCAATTTCATAGGTATCATAGGTATTTGAGGGTCCCCCGAAAACTGAAAAAACTAAATATTTAAGATAATAAAAAGCACAGGTTGCCCAGGCCTATCCAAGAACAGATGAAACCACTCCTCTTGTTCAAGTTTATCTTTGAGACACAAGAAAACTAATTTAGTTGTGACAATTTCAAATGCTTTTCTCGTATTAAAAAATTCTCACCGAGGTAATTCAACCTTGTGGAGATGAATTTGCTACTGCAAAATCAAAATAAATCCTGCCTTTGATTTTTATATTATGGCAGATATCTTTTGACATAGCTTTTCCTGATTTATTTTTAGTATACTTACTTATTATTAGCGCAGCTAGGATTTCCCAACCGAAATGCCTAAACAATATAAGCTTGATAAAAAAGAAAGCAAAATATAATAAACGTAGAACTATAGAACTTTTTAAAGATAACAATATGAAGTGGGTCCAATAAGTTTTGCAAAAATCTTTTTAGAGGTACTTCTAGATGTCTCAGCTCTTAAAAAAAAATTTCAAAGCTCACTGTATCCAATCGGGTTGTCTTCTACCAATGAATTTTATTGGTCCAACTTTTTATTTCCATGTAATTTGCATTTTCCTGAATGTTGTTTAGCTCTGTTGTCACAGCAAAGGAATGTTTTGATACCAAAGAAGACACTTGGAATGCCCAACACACAAAAATTTGGGCCTAAAAATTTCTAAATACAAAGCAGACACCTTTGATATCTAAAATGCATCAGAGAAGAATAATATGGACAAGGCAGCAGTCTACACGTGAACTTAAAGGAGAAAAGTGTAATGGAAAGTGTTGGCAGAAAGAGGAAATGTCTGAGCAGGAAAAATCCACAAACACCCCACAAATAGTCCAAAAAATTTAAAGTTTCTCAAACCAATTTCACAAGGCTTCTTAGTTGATGAAGTTTTATGAGTTTGGCATCTGAAATAATGCATACAAAGTTGTAAAGAAAGATTTAAAAAATGGCAAAGATTTTGACAACGTTTGGTTGAAAGAGGTCTTAGGAAAAGATATTATTTTGTTTGCTGAAACATAGTTTTCAACTATAAAAACCCTCAAGTACCCTTTCTACAATACAGGCTTACCCTCTTTTGACTTTTAAGTCAACACAACCTTTAAAACACACATAAATGGGTATATTTTGAGTCTATAGATAAAATATTCAGGCTGTGACAAGCAATGTCTAACATAAAGCTGATTGCGTCTAACATATATTACCTTGTCATGTATTACCTTGTCATATCTCATGATGTAGTAGACTGGTTTATCAAAGCTGGTCATTGTTGAAGTAGATGGAGCTCGAGATGGGGAAGGAAGTGTTGAACGGATAGATCTCACATTAGGAACGGTCATAGGAGCTGGAAAGGATGATGATGATTGACAAGATGGCGCAGTATGGAAGGATGTTGAGATGGATGCTGGAGTTGGAAAGGATACAGGATTTGGGTGAGATGTTGATGGAATTGGAAATGATGCAACTGTTGACTGGGATGGAGGAGTTGAGTCCGAGTGATGGCACGGGGGATTGGCCGCAGTTCCATCCTCTTCCTCATGGTTTCCACTACATTTTATTAGTTTTATTTGTGCATAACTACATTGTTTAATAATTGCAAATAGAAATAAACTGTTTAGCGAAATAACCTGACTTGCAGTTCTAGGGGAACAATCTGTTTGATCTGTTTGTGCTTTCCCACAACAACAACTAGAGTATAAGTTTATCAGAATGTTTAATATCAGTCATTGTTTTGTAAAGGAAGTTGTTTTCAGTAAATTCACAAACCAAAAAGAAACAAATAAATTTCTATTTCAAAAAGCCATGAAGGTTTACCGATTACATGGAGTGAGAAGTAGGTAGCTGTGAGTAGGCAAATCAGGTAGGGCAACACCATGCCTATAAAACATAATATTCTGAAAATTTTACTGTTAATGAAAAGGTTATCTTAGAGGGACTGTCATTTAAATTTTGAGTGAGTGTCCATTTAAAAAGTGCATGGACGTTTCACAGTGGTACCCCTGAAACCTTGATCTAATTAATAATTGGAAGATAGAGTCATTTACTTAGATTGAAAAGTGTTTAGTTTTGATAACAAATGTCAAATGCCCAATTAACTTTCGTATAGAAACCAGAAATGAAAATAATCAGTTATTGAAATCTAATTCATACTTAATTAAAGAAAGCTTTTAAGGGTAGTGTTTTTAATCCGATATACCACCTTCAATGGAGGGTCACTTGAATAAGTGTTACTGACCTTTAATGGTATTTGTCAACATAAATAAAGAGTGTCATTTATAGGGTCATTTACTGTCATGAAAGCCAAGCAAAAATGAGTTAATTTTCCATTATATCCCTTAAAAGATCTCTTTATTTATTACGTTTCAATTTCTACTTTTAACTTTTAAGTTTTGATTTTCGATTCATTCTTTAATTAATTTTTATAAACTGGAAATGTTTCAGGAACTGAATTGGAGACAAATGGAACATGTCAGTTGTTGGATAAATGTTCTTGAAGGACTTTCAGCATTCATTTTTACTTCTTTTTTTCACTTTTTATCTTTTCTCTATTTATGTTTTATTGTAATAACCCTGTTTCTAAAACAAAAATGTGTTCTGGCTTTTAATTATTAAAAAACCCAAAATGTTAATATGTAAACCAAAAAGCACACACAACTCAAGGATGATCATTCTAGGTAAAAACATGGAAAAAGCTTACTCCAGCAGAAACCAGTTCCAAGCGTTAAAAACATTATATAATTAAAAGGGTTTTTTTTGGAAAAATTATTATCTTTTACAAGGTTATAAAATTAAATGCTGAAGAGTTCTGTGGAATGATAAGAGGTGTTTCAGTCTACCGTAACATCCAGAGATGATTTCAAGGATGCTCGAGGGGAGGAAAACTTAAGCTGCCTTATTTTCCAGAAGAAATTCTGAGTTGAAGCATTTTTCGAAATGTCTTCTTTAGATAAATAATATACTAAGGCTTAAGTGGGACCAATCCAAGTGGTGCGGAAAACCGTCACATCTCTGTCAAAACACAGAACGTTTAAGGAAAAATGATAAAACATCATATAAAACCAATTACACAAAGATGATAAAAGTGATATATAAATTAAACAGAAAACAGGACGGTTGTCAAGGGGAAAATGCTTTCAAAATAGAAATTCGAGCAAGAAGACTTTAAACATGGAGAAAATATAAAAGAAAATGAAAATAAAACCAGAAACCAAAGAAAAACTTAATTCAGCGAACACAGAAAACGATGGATGAAGAAAATGTTGGGAAAAGTGTTATAAATTAAATGCTTAAGATAAATTGTGATATGAAATATAGTTGCAACTGATATTTGTAAATAACATAATGCAAGGAAATAATGAATAATTTTTTCAGATAATGGGGAAACCTTGCAAATTCTTTTTACAAGGTTTGTGCAAAAATGGACGTAATTGTCAGTTCTTCCATCAAGAGGTCCGCAGGGACAGTTATGGTATGCTAACTAAAACAATCCCAACCGATCAAGAGAGGGAAAACATACCATATAGATACAAGGAAGCAAGTTCTAGGTAATGAATTATAGAGCAATATAATTATAATCCAACCAAAGAAAGTAAATCAACAACGGGAATCAAACTGTTGTTAATTTTTCATATATGATTCTAAAATTGGATTTTTAAAACAGTTAAAATGACGGTAAAATACCAAATTGGAAATTCGGAAGCATAATCAATCAAACGAAGAAAATTCTAAGTAATTTAAATTAACACATTAAATCATTTAATGATAAATAAAATTGTCTTAATGTTATCAGGCCGGATACAACTAGCTATGGATACGGAAACAACACGAGGGAAAGGGAATCCTGGAAACCGAGGGACGGATCGGGGGAACAGAGTAACACTATTGGAGACAGAAGATCTCAGAGGTATTATATATATATATAAAAAGGGTTTTTCGGAAAGAATGCGTCATATACTTAAAACTGTGTGAAGGGAAAAAACTGCAAGAACAGTATAAAATTATCTAAAGAGTAAAGTAATGTAAGGCCAAGTAACTAAAATAAGACTCTATCTAGGATAAAAAGAGACACATGGATAACAAGAGAGGAATCAACAAGAAGTAAAGGATCAATCAAAGATTCACAGAGATACATTCAGTTTAAATCATTATTAAATGATGGCAATTAAAAAGGTTAAACTTATGATGCAAAACTAAAATCAAATCATAAAATGAAATATTAAACTCTAAATTGCTCGTTTTAGGAAAACGGACGATGAATGGAGCAAATCCTCAAGGTACTCAAAAGAGTATAAAGACCATTCTAGGAGTTCTTCAAACAATCGGGAAGAAACCTTGAGCTCAAAGAACGATCGCAACGATCAAGAAGATTGGAAAAAAAGCGTAACAAGAAAGAATACTGGAGGAGAAACCTGGATCCCAAAGAATGATGGCAACGATCAAGAAGATCGGAAAAGGTGCGTAATTAAAAAGAATGCTGGAGGAGAAACTGAAGTATACCGAACAAATCTTAAAAGATCAGGAGAGAAAGAAAAACGATCACCAATGGAATCGCCAGAGATCTTAGAAATAAAGGAGAATGAGAACCAGGAAGAACAAAAGAAGATAACTTGGAAAGATCAAAACCAAGAGAAGAAAACGATAGAAAAGAAGGGAAACAAGAAAGGAAATGGAAGTAGCATAGTAGAAAGAGCAACAGAAACAATGCTGGAAAAAACTATAAAAACAGATAGATTTTCCTCTTCTGGTTCCGATACGCAAGAAAACGAGAAGAGAAACAAGGGAACTATAAATTGTATCTGCCTGTACCAAACCTACGACCCGGACATGGTTAAATGTATCAGCTGCGGAGAATTCTCTCATGGGACATGTTATAGAGCTAAAGTTAGTGATAAATTTGAATGCGCTGGATGCTCAATAAAACAAGGGAGAGAGTGTGGAACACACGAGATCGATTCCTACTATAAAAAGAAACACCGATCCCATAAAGACAAACATGATTTTGTATTTCAATTGAATAGAAGAAGAGTGCTGAAATCAATCCTGAACCAGGAATTTATCAACTGCCAACCAGGAAAAGAACCATCAACGGAGTTCATGAAAATTCGATTTGGTTTCTCAAGCTCATATGCAGCAAAAATAACTCTCGACCTTGTAAAGTGTGGATTAATAAACATTTTTGGAGGATTTAGTTTTGACGGAGGTAAAATTATTGAGGAACTCGGATTACATGATGATCTTAGTGAAGATCTAAGTGAAGGTGAAATACAGAGAGAAACTGATAATCTATCATTTGAAGTCGGAGCATTGTTCAATACAGAAATTATTCAAGAACTGGAAAAATTAAACCCATCAACTAAAAGAGCAAGGAGTAAATCTCCTTCAGATGTACAGTATGGGAAAAAGTCAAAGATAGAAAAACCCAAGAATACCATGAATAAACCGGTTGGAACAAACAGTGTCCAAGAAGAAAGAAATCAAACCCTAGTGATCAATACTGATATTTCAATTATTAGCTCCCCCAGTAACTCAGATATGGAAAATGAGAAGGAGGAAAGACCGGAGAAGAAGAATGAGAAAAGAGAGAACAGTAAAGATTCACAGATATCTCAAGATTATCAAGAAGAGGGGGAAAAAGATGAAAATTCCAAGGTTGATCAAAAGATAAGAAAAGATCGGGAAAACAGGAAATATAAAATTAAATATTCTTGGCCAACAAGATTTATAAACAATGAATCTAGAGATGCTGGAAAAGATATTCCAGTAAGTGTTGCTACTCTAGGGAAGAGAACATCTAAACCTGTGTACGGACAAATCACGGACATTACAGAACCCAGACAGAATACAAACGATCCTAGTAAATGGAATCTTCATTTTATCCTAGGAATGGATGGTCAGTTGACGCAATGTTGGATCTTTGGTACTGAAACCGAAATCAAAGAAATGAGCAAAGGTTTGGAGGTAGAAGAGTACTATCTATTCTGGGGAGATTTTACTATAAAAGATAAATACTCCTCAAAATTTAAACACACGAATGACTGGGCAATGTACATTCAAGGAGCAAGTAATAAATTCGGGAGAATAAAAAGAACAAGAGTGTATCTAGAATCAGAAGACTCAAAATCGGAAGAAAGAGAAAAGTTTGCTGAAAAGTTTCAACCCGCACCAAGAAAAGGGAAGGTTCTAAAGAAGAAAAAAGAACACGATGCACGGATGAAAGAAAAATTGGAAACAAATCAGCGAAAGATTACAGCATTCGGTGTCACTACACGATCAAGATCGAGAAATTCGGGAACATCAGAAGAAGATATCAGGAGATCTCCAAAAAGTGATGAAAAAGAGGAACGTGACGACTGAAAAGCTCAGTTTTTTATATACATTTTTTAAACGGAAAAAACAAAAAATTCCATATTACCGTGCAAGTTACTGTTAAATACGGGAAAAGGAAAAACAAAAAAATTTAAAAAGTGTTGGTGTAAAAATTGACAAAAAAAGTATATAAAAAAAATGTTAAAGATATATGTTTGTTCAAAAGTTATTAAAACGTGCCTGTAAAGTTTATGAATTCTTGGCTTATAATGGATATTTACAATGCTATGGTTTGTGGTAAGAAAAGGTTTTGAAAAATTAAAATCTTCGTTGAAACATAGAACCTAAAACGATTGTTATCTATTATCTGTTATTAAACGCATCGAGGAAAATGTTATATATTTTTTTACCATATCAAGTTAAATAAATAAACTTTTTAAACCAATCCTAAATGATTATTTTTTCAGAAATAATGAATCCAATATTAAGATGTTTATGGCTGTTATCAGCAACACTGAACAAGGTAACCATCGAAATTGGAAAAACGATTAAAAAAACAGGCGAGAAAATATCCAAAATGTTGTTTAACATCGAAAAAACTGCTAAAAAACTAATCATTGGTTCAGATAAAATTGTAATTTCATCGGGTGAAAACTTTGCAAAAGACTGGGTTAAATTTAAAGCTGAAATAGTTAAAATGCTCAGGGAAATAAACGTGAATAGGTCTGTTCAAAGAATAATTCAAAACGGTAATAATGAAATGGGAAAAGAATTTCTACATGGCAATTTTTCAAGAATCATGATACCAACCAATAATACTCTTAAACAAAAAGTACATGACATGATGAAATACATGGCTAAAACAGAACTAGACCTTATTCTAGAAAATTTAACAGGAGAAAATTTCTTTAACTTATCCGAGTCCCCTATAGATGTAAATGTTATTAAAAACCTAAAATTAGGGAAAAAGTTTACTCCATTTTGTAAATTCAACATCAAGAAAGAACTGAGTATTTTTGAAAACCAAATTAGCATCATGTTAGACAGAGTTTGCGGAAAACACTACACTGTAGGAACAAAAATTCCATTATTTATTAAAATGAGGAAAATGAAGAGATTTAACAACTTAAAAAAGAATCCCGATTTATATAAGTTATTACAGTCAATAGAAGAAAATTGCAAAATCCAAAGGAAACATTTTACCAAATACATGGAAAAACAACAGCAGAATTTAAAAAACCTACCAACTGAGCAAAATCTCAACACTTTATTTCAATTAAACCAAAACCAAATTTTAGTAGCAGCCGATAAGAATGTAGGCTACGTATGTATGGATAAAGGAGATCTTTTAATGCAGTATGATGAAATTAACAAGAAACAGCATTTTGGGGAAGCAAAAATTAAAGAAGACTGGTATTTAAAAAACATAAAGGATCTTTTAACAACAGCATCAAAAAATATCCCATTTGAACTTAAAGAAATAATTAAAGAAAATGACTTTATATGGAAAGGAAAAAAGCAAGAAATTGGTACTTTAAGATTAATGCCTAAGATATTAAAAATGAAGACGATTTCCAAATCTAATATATCCAACTTAACTTGTCGGGGAATTAAAAGCTCTATGCACGATCCTATTAAACTAGTGCAAAAAATTCTAGACAATATTTATAGCCATTTATTATTTTACATAGAAAATGAATTTGTAAGACTGTATGGAAAACTTTCCCCTTCAGTAACGGGAATAGATGAAGCGATAACTAGAGTTAAAAAATCAAAGACAGGTGAATGGGGTAATTCAATTGAAATGGAAGGGGACTTTGGGGACCTCTACTCAAATTGTAACAAAGAACTGTTAGAAAAGTGCATAATAAAAGCTGGGAGAATTGCTAACCTTCAACCACAATCAATTGACTATGTCCTAAAACTTATGAAAGTTTCAATGAATCATTCCTATTTCAAAGAACCAAAAGGTATTTTCAAAACCCTAAATGGATTTTCAATGGGCGATAATTCTGCAGCACGAGGGAGTGAAATAATTTTAAGAATTCATGAACTTGATATTTTCCGAAACATAACTCACAAAAAACTGGAAAACACTCTCACACGATACCTAAGATTCAGAGATGACGTTTCAGTTCATGTAATGGGGGAAATAGATAAAATGCTGGAAGTAGTGAAAATGATCACAAATGGATATCCAAAATGTATCCAGTTTAATGTTGAAACCAAACTCATTTATGGGAAATTCTTAAATATAAAAATATTCAACATGCCTGGTGAAAACAAACCAACAACAACAGTTTTAAGAAAACCAAACTCAAAATTTGACATTATACCTTTTAACTCCAATGTAAGCTTAAAATATAAAAAAATGGCAGGTCTGGGATACTTTAGAACTATCAAAACACACACATGTTCAGTAATAGAAGAAATACAACAGAAAAACATAGTTAAAATGATCCTAAAGGAAAAAGGGTTTCCCAAAAACCTAATAAAAAAGTTAGAAAACCAACAATATGAGAAAACAAAAGGAGAAAATGCTAAAAAATCTTAGGAATAACAGTGTTTGACAATGTAAGCAAACGACACAAGTTTGTAAGAAATGTTTTTAAACACTCGATAATAGACGAGGAAAAATATTATCTTCCAGCAGACGTCCCCGGAAGGAAATTTGAGCAATATATTTTCACTATAAAGAAGATGAAAGAAAAGCTTCAGTTTTAAACTTTGTACTTTTCATAGAACAATGAAAATGCGTGAATTAAACGTTAGGAATACATATTAACATTTATATTATTTAACTAAAACAGGAGACACAAAGCAAAGTACTTCTGAATAATTTTTGGTTTATTTGATTTTTTAAACATTAATAGAGAGATCTTGAAAGAGAAAAGGCGCTTGACATAAAATGACTTCTCGGCATGGGTCCGGTGTTCAAGGAGCACCGGACCCATGCTTTTGCCAGCCCATGTAATTAGGGCTGGTATACTTTGCATAGTGCCGGTGCTCCTGAAAGCCAGGTCACATTTATAGGGTCATTTACTGTCATGAAAGCCAAGCAAAAATGAGTTAATTTTCCATTATATCCCTTAAAAGATCTCTTTATTTATTACGTTTCATTTTTCCAGAAGAAATTCTGAGTTGAAGCATTTTTCGAAATGTCTTCTTTAGATAAAAAATATTTCACTCCAAAAAAAAATCTTTTACAAAGATCATGAGGTCATTATTTCAATGGGGAAAAGAAAAAAATGCATATGATTCATTATTGAAAAAGACACTTACCAAATTTAAAAGCATTGGTTTGGATGAAGAAGAAGTATGATTCAAGATGGCATCCCTTGCACCTAGGAATTCATTTGATTAATTTAAAATACAAATAGCATTAATCCAAAAACATTTTTTTTTAAATTGAAACGTGACTTACTTTGTAAGTCCCGCAAAGTAGAAAAGTGATGATGTAAAGAGAGAGAAGAACCATGACACTACAGAACTTGACAGCGCATTCTCCTACATTCAATAAGAGGGTTAATTTTTTCTTGCCTTCTCTCTCTCTCTCTCTCTCTCTCTCTCTCTCTCTCTCTCTCTCTCTTTCTATATATATATAGAGAGAGAGAGAGAAAGAGATAAATATATATGTATCTCTTCCGGTTCTGAGAGAAGGATAGAATTCTTTAAAGCGCACAATTAAAACAAATCATCAGCGTCATTTTGAAAAAAAAACTTCTAAACGATTATTGTGCGTTTTAAGATTCTTTATGCGGATCGTTTTGTTTAAAAACAAAAAGATAGTTTTGTATTTTTCAAAATTTAAATTTTAAAATTTTTTGTTAAAAAAAATTACTTTTATCTTCGAAACGAAAAACAAAGAATTTTTTTTGCTTTTAAATCTAAAACAGTAAATTTAAACTAACAGACATTTTCCTAAATAATTATGCCTATCTAAAAAATATGCATTACCGGAATTCAGACTAAGAAAACTTTTGATAGATGATAGTAGGGCTGAATTAAGCTCCATTAAAAAGAAGGTTTCTTAAAATTTACAGAAAATTCCATGAAAAATGGAAAAAGACATTCAGATATTTTGGTTATTTTATTCAATTTACGGAGGGGCCCACCTCAATTTCGGGGGGGGGGGGGCAACTATTCTTTTTATGATCTAACCTGGGTTAAGTAAACTTGATGGAAGAATGGGAACACCACGGCAATATAACAGTCCAGAATCCTTAACATATTTTTGGTTCAAAAAGAAAAACAAAGTGACTCTAGGTATGTATAGACCTTTATTATAGTCTGGCATAGAACCCCTTGAACCTTTGTCTTTGTCTCTTTAAAAATTGGCTGTTTTTAATCATGGATTTGTCACTTTAAATTACGACAGGAACCCTTCTACAAGAACAAATGTATTAGTTTTGATTGAAATTTTCTCTTACAATAAAAAATATTTTGAAAGATTGCAAGCTTATAAAATCGGTGTTTTATAAAAATCTATTTAATGATTTTTTGACAATTAATAGGATTTTAATTAACTATTTATAACACTGTTATTTTGGTTATCAGGTTATAAAGAAATTTTCTCTTTACCGAGAAAGTTCAAGTCTTTTTAGATTTAATTTTGTCCTGAGCTTAGCGAGGAATAAAATATAATCTAAAAAGGCGAGAACCTTCGAGATATAGAGAAATTTTAAGTCCAAAATTTTCATAACACGTCGTGCCAAAATAATAGTGATATAGGTAATTTTATGAAACGTTTGTGTGTTTGTCTTATTTCAATGGATATTTCTAGATCATTCAAGCTTTTAAACAAAGCAAAAGTCAGAATATAAAGTTGATTTCAATTTTATTTTCATTTCAATTGAAAAAAACATATTTTGGAAATATCCTAAATTTTTTGGAGAAAATCCGGGAACCAATCAAAACTTTACAGCACACGTGCTATAATGTAGAGCTAATTTAACATTATAGCACGATGATTACTTTATAGTACATTCATTATGAAATTCACGATGAAATGAGGAAGAATGATAACCTGGGGGTCGCGGGGTGCAATTATACACAGGCCTACCTCCTCACGTACGTAAACCTGGGGGTCGCGGGGTGCAATTATACACAGGTTCAAGCTTCCATATACTCTACCCTCCTCAGATACGTACGTAAACCTGGGGGTCGCGGGGTGCAATTGAAACCCCCAGTTTCATAACAGTTATTTTTGCAACTGTTCGTAAGTATATTGTATAGAATCTTCATGCTTTTCTTCTATAATCTTTATTCTATTTCACCTTGACCACCTTCAAATATAAACTAATAACAGATGGTTCAGGGAACATAATGTACTGCGTATATTATAAGAATATTTAAAAGAAATGTTCAATTTGACTCTTATCTAGGCTCAAAGGGGCTGGAAAGATATTCGGTTTTTTCTCGAAGGCATTTTCCTCAGTGTATTTTCATAATTGGCAACTTCCCAAATGTGCAGTAACTTCCCAAGTCTATTCTGAGCTGAAAACTTTAGAATGGGATATCCTTAATCCCGATCGGTTAATTAATCTGGAGATTAATTACAAGAGGATAACATGCATTATTTAATCTTGAGATTAAGAAAAAGAGGAGATCAAGCATTGATCTCGATATCCACCATTCTAAAGTTTTCAGCTCTGCCTCCCAAGCCCATCCTATCCTAGCCGCAGTGCATTTAAAAAGTTGCCGCTTGGGAAATGGCACATTTGGGAAGTCGTCACTTGGGAAGTCGCACTTAGAAAAATATCTAACACTGGTATAAATACTCTAAATACACAAACCGAGGGAAATTCTTATTTTTGCTCTAAATATTTTCTACTCTGGGGTTTTACCTCATGAACTCTGTTAAGAGATTGAGCTGTAGACAGAAGAAAACCAGGGTTAGGACCAGAGTACCTAGAAACAGAAGAAAACCAGGGTTAGGACCAGGGTACCTAGAAACATAAGAAAACCAGGGTTAGGACCAGGGTACCTAGAAACAGAAGAAACCCAGGGTAAGGTCCAGGGTACTTAGAAACAGAAATAAACCAGGGTTAGGACCAGGGTACCTAGAAACAGAAGAAAACCAGGGTTAGGACCAGGGTATCTAGAAACAGAAGAAAACCAGGGTTAGGACCAGGGTACCTAGAAACAGAAGAAACCCAGAGTAAGGTCCAGGGTACTTAGAAACGGAAATAAACCAGGGTTAGGACCAGGGTACATAGAAACAGAAGAAACCCAGGGTTAGGACCAGGGTACCTAGAAACATAACCATCAAAATCAATTTTTATAAATGTTAAAAAATCAGAAGATAAACAAAGAAAATTATCTAAACAAACAAGAAGTTGGTAATTTTTTGTTTGTTTGCTTTTAAGCATTCAATGATGGAATCGCTGCAGGGGCGTATACAATACAGGGTGGGGCTACGGCGCTAAACCCCCCCTGGACAAGCTAATTTCAGGATTTCAAGGAATTTTAGAGAATGAAAAATGACTGTATGTGCCTCAGTCGTTCACTTTTGTTAATTAAATCAAATGATTTTTCAAAAAATAAAGCAAATCCTTTTTAAGATATTATAAATATGAATAAAAATTACTCAAGAGCATTCTAAAATAATTTTTTTTAAATGTCTATGCTCACAATTCTAAAGAAACTAGAAAAACGCTACACTCAAAACGCTACCTAGATGAAACGCTACACTCGCATACGCTATCTGGTAGCGTTTTACGATGTAGCGTTTTATTAGTGTAGCGTTTTTTAGAATGAACAAATCTTCAGAATTGTGATACATTTGATATTTCGAACTGTAAATTATGTTCGTTCAAATTCTTCAAATATTCTACATATGTTTGAAATATCAAAGGTTTGAAATTATGAAACTAGATTTTGTGGTGAGCTTTCAGTTGCTTCAGGTAAATTTTACTTAGTAATGATAATACTCTAAGATGTAAATGAAATTACAAGTTACCCTTTTTTATAAACAGGCATGTCCGATTAATAATGGTACCCTTTAAATCTTTATCTGAGTCACAATGATGAAGAAATCAGTGTTGATTTCAGTTATTTCCCTTCAGTTTTTTCTCTAAAGTCACTTTTTTTCAGAGAGCCCACACTTGAAAATAATCAAGTTTTAGCCAGACAGATTAGAATATCTAAATATCTCATTTATCCTTAATCAGACAAAGGTTTAAAGAATGTGTAGGTTTTACTTAAAATTATGTCTAGTCCTTATAACAAGAGTAAAATAATAAAAAACCTACATTTAACTGGAGGGTTTGAGTTCCAGTAGAGAGATATGAATAGTGTTCCAAAGGTCATCAGAGCCAAGGCATTTGCTACAAGCACATTTGCCTGGTATATGTACCTAGAATATATACAGGGTTAACCACAGAGGATCAGGCTTCAATGACGACCTAAAACTCATTATAGGAATAGCTCACATTGTTTGTTAAACTACTCATCAAATTAACATTTTTGGAATTCGAAATATAGCATACTAGCCATATAGGGCGCTTCGCGCCCATCTTCTAAATTAATTGTGAACATATTCTCTTTGTGTACATCGAAAAACAACACAAAAATAATTCGCGAATTTTCACAAAAAAATTTCGTGGATTTTCAAAATTTTCAAAAATTTAATGAAGATCGATTTTGATGGAAACAAATATTTAAAATTTTGATCATTCATAAACCTTCCCTGTGGTGACGTGAGGTCCCACAAAAAATTTGGGCCCGATCGGTTCAGCCGTTTTGACGTTTATTGGATACAAACAAACAAACAAACAGACAGACAAGCCAAATTTATATATAGATATATTATATACTAGCCTTAGAGGGCGCTTCGCGCCCATCTTCTAAATTAATTGTGAACATGTTCTCTTTGTGTACATCGTATAACAAAACAAAAATAATTCGCGGATTTTCACAAAAAATTTCGTGGATTTTCAAAATTTTCTAAAATTTAATGAAGATTGAATTTTGATGGAGACAAATATTTGGAATTTTGATCATTCATAAACCTTCCCTGGGGTCCCTAGATGTCCCACAAAAAATTTGGGCCCGATCGGTTCAGCCGTTTTGACGTTTATTGGATACAAACAAACAGACAGACAAACAAACAAACAAACAGACAGACAAGCCAAATTTATATATAGATAGTCTATCTCGCCACTCAAAAATGTTTCTGGGACAAAGAGTAATCAGTAATCACAACTTTTCGCAAAATAGGTTTATTTCGAAATAAAGATATTATATGTGTTTATTAAAATATAGCGATTGTAAAATGTAACAAATTAAAGATAAACTAGATAGTTTGGCAAACAATTATACAAGTTTGCGGTTGCAAGGAACTATGAATGAAGAAAAAACTGGATATATTGGTCCCTGAAGTATATTTGGCCTCTTTGGTCTAATGTTTGCCAGATCAAAGGTAATAGAAAATTTGGCTACATCAATTATTCAAAAAAAAGATTTTCAAGTCTTCCAAATTTAGAAAAACAATGCCAAATTTTAGCCTTATTTCTATGTTTGTGACATTTTAGGGCTGACGTTTAGGATACAATTGTCAAACGTTTTGAGTTGTTAACAGTAGTCTGACTCAGTGTGCTATAACACTGCAAACAAGTCAGTAGGAGAAGGTAGAATCTATGGTACGACTTTGTGACCTTGTAGCTCATCTAATTTTGATTTCTGCACAAATATGACAAAATAAAATTTATTTGGTTCCATATTAGAAATAAAAAACAGTTTTGTTCATAGCTCTTCATTTAATGGAGATTTTATAACACTATCTATAAGTTCTCAGCTTTTGATTAAATATTATTTTTTAACATATTTATCTTTTTTATAATTCTAATTTTAACAAAATTCTATGAATAATCAGATGCTAGCAGCTGCTTGTATTTTGCAATCTTTGTTTTTTTAAATCTCCATTTTATGTTCTTGTCTGTGTTTTTATTCTTGTTTGGGGTTTTGTTCTTGTTTGTGTTTATAACTTTATGTTTGGTTGATTTCGAAAAAGTAGGTGGCAGATTACCTAGTCTCGTAGAGCTCCTGGAACCAGAGGATGACGAAGAACACGAGTAAGCTGATGAGAGTACCGAACAGGCTGATGCAGAAGATAATGATGGTGGTCGCCAAGGAGATCTGGAGAATAGACGGGGGTTGATAACACAAATATTTATTCAAAACTTCACCAGAAAAAAAATAAATGCCCCATAGTTTTCAGGATGTAATAGTATATTACTATGTATACTGAATAGTCTATTTTTTTGTTAAAACAAAGAAACTTTATTAGTTTTGAATTATTTTAAGCTTTTTGTTTTATGACTCAAAAATATGCACTAAGAAATAAGAGTTAAAGGGATCGACTGTAATCATAATTTTAGGTTATTCTCCTTTTAAAGATGACATTGCCCGATTCAAAATGGTACCGTCGTTGAAACATATCTGATCAAAATGTGGAAGACATTTTCGTTTTTCTAGGTTTAAAAGTGTTTTTTTTCTGATAATTCCCATACATTTTCTGCAGTAGAAATGCGCAAGTCACTTCAGTAAAGAAGCCACAATTGAAAATAATCAGTTTTAAAATTTATAAACATTGATATCTAATGAAAGCTTGATCAGACAAAGCTTTTAATGGTACCGTTGTGAATAAAACATTGACATCTTCGTAAATTGTGTCACTTGAGTTTGTGCTTACAGTCCCTTTAAAATCAAAAAATATTCTGAACCTGAACCAAGTTGTCCTCAGTGTTGCAGAGAGTTCCATTTAGAAATATTTCAACCATTTTGAACAATTCTAAATTCAACTTTGAAAAACATCTAAATTTTTGTTTCTAATGAAAATATTTTCTAATCCCTATATCCTTACAACCTGATGGTGAAAACTTTTGATATTTTAAACCTATAAGACGAATAAATAGTTTGAAAAATGACAGGTATAAGAATTAACAATTTTTTCATGTTAAAATCCCGTTTTATGATGTATAACTCTTGATCAAATAATTAAACTTCTTTTAAGTTGAAACTGAAAGCTCTCTCTTCTTTCATCTTTTTAATATTCGGCTTTTTGGTTCGTTTTGTAAAAGTTTTAAGGATTTGGGGCTTTCAAAAAGCTCCGATAAAACCTTAATTTTTGTATAATTTTAAATTATTTTACATTATTTTAACTCTTCAGTTTCTTTACTCCGTCAGAAAATATACGCACGTATTTAGATTATTGTGAACTATTTTTCAAAAATGTTTTATATCATTATCTTATTCATATAACATGGGTCTTTGTAAAGGTTACAATTTTTCTGAGATTACGTCACATTACAATAATGTAAAAAGCTGCCATTATGTAGCTTTTTTATGCAATTTCACAAAAAGTTGTTTTAGGGTTTACCACAGAGACAGTTATATAATGAACCGAAGAGAAGCTTCCACGAAAACTTTAGAAGGTTAGACTTAAATGCAATCAATTCAAGAAAAGAAAAAAGAAATTAGAGAAAATTAGGTTAATTGTTGATTTAATCAATATTATTTCTCCATTTTCTGTATAAAAAAGTTTTTGACTATCGGGATTCAAGTCATACAATGAAAATTGTCAAATGTCGAAAAAAGGGCATTTTTAATTTTTAATTTAGACTTTTTTGCAAAGTTTTTTCCTTTACAGTTATTGTCAGGTTGGACGGAATAATACTTCTGAAGTGATCTCCTTCTCTCTCCTTCTCTGTTCCATCCTTCCTTCTCCTTGATCTCTGCCTCCTTTACCATGGTTACCTAGTTCTCGTAAATAAACACGGGGGCCAGCAGGAAGGGGGGATTAAGTTAGGGGGGGGGGGTCTCTGAATTATAGTATTCTTCAAAATGAGTGTTTTTGAGTTAATTTCATGTCCAATTCACACCGGTTCCCTTAAAAGCTTGATCATATATGAATGAATAAGAAATTTCAGACTATGAATTCTGATAGACGAGGGAGGGAACCCCCATACGACATGAGCCTCCGCCAAGCAGAAATGAGCCTCCCTAATTTGCTAGGCAGACCGAGCCTCTGCCATGCAGTGAGAGCCTCCGCTTTGCTTTACATGTGTTATAGAATTTTTTCATTTTTTTCAACATAGCACGGGACAAAAATGTTACTTAAGATTAATGTTGTTTTTTGGATTGTAATGATTTGTTACTTAAATTGATTCATAAAGTGGTTTACAAGATTTATGTTTAACAAAAAAGTATTTCTTACACAGTAAGTACCAGGCAGGCAATGTGGAAATTCATTTCTGAATTGAACTTAATCTATTTTGTTTTAATTTTTGATTTAAGCAAAACCTTTTTTGTGACATTTTTTTAGATTCAGAATATTTGTCAATGTCAAATTTTTTATTATCTTAATCTGATAACATTCAGAATTTTTTCTCTAAAAGTTAACCTTGTTGCGTAAAAAATGTTTCAAGGTTTATAAACCACTTTACTAGTCATAATTAGTTACTATTTATAATATCTGACAAATACTTCTAATCTTTGATAAACTTTTTATGCCACTATTTCAAAAAAAATACAACATTTTGTTACTACACCATGAATTTTAAGGAACCTGTGCTGTATTGCGGAGGCTCGGTCTGCCCAGCAAATCTAGGAGGCTCGTATCCTTATAGCGGAGGCTTATGGCGTTCAGGGGGTTCCCTCCCTCGATAGACTGGTAGTGGTATAGAATGAAAAATCCAAGGTGTACATCATTAGTTTACAAAGAAAGGGATTAGAAAATTAAAGTTTGTGTAAATATACAATTCCTTTGTAATTAATAGTTTTCTTGGGGTGAGGTGATGCTTCGAATGCAGGGTTACTCACAAAGGATGTGACTGTGAAGACGACCTGAAACTCTTAAAAAAATATGACAATACCAAGGTTTTTATTTTAGTCTTGTCTTATATATTTTCTTTTAATGATTTGACAAAGAAAGGAACAATTTAAGTTACCTGGAAATCATGAATATAATATAATAGATAAAATAACTTTCCGTCCAGTCGTCTCTGAAGTCTTATCCTTTATGGGTAACCCTGTATGTTTCTTTAGATGAAAATATTTATCAATGTTTTCTCCGCATTTAATGTAAATCTAACAGAGCGACAGCGAATTCTATCATTTGGTAATAATCTTCAAATCAAAAAGGGTTTAATTACGCAATCAAACACGATACAGTGTAAAAACAGTAAAAAAAATGTAAAAACTAATTTAAGTTTTCTGAGCTGAAAACTTAAGAATGAGAGATCCTTAATCCCAATTACTTAATCTGAATATCCAATGGACACACTTTTTATTTTCCTCTTAAACCGTTCTTTCAATTGGATATGGTAGAGAAAAATCAAAAACCGTTTATTTATTTAGAGAGTTCCTCCCGTTTCCGTATATAATCTTAAATGGCGCGCAAAATTTCAAATTTATCGGCTTCATTATGCGACTCCGATTGGTTGAATTTTATACACTTTTCAGGATACAAGTACAAGATTTGGTTAATCTCGATATTAAGAGAAAGAGAGGATCAAGCATTAATCTCAATATCCATCAGCTCTGTCTTAAATGTGATCTCTAAAGGCTTATTTGGTTAAGAAATACAGAAGAAAGTCATAAATACGAGGGAACAGATAGTATAGATTCTATATGGTCGTCTCTCAGGTCGCATCCTTTGTGTGTAACCCTGTATAGTGAGTGTAGTCCATACAATCATTCTGAAGTCTCGTCTGTTGTGGGTAACGTGAATTTTTGTTTCAAGAAACAAGTTTAAAAATATCTTTTTTTGAGATCTAGATATTTATTATCTCCGTATCGAGATTATATTAATTGTACAAAATTGTTCACATGTATTTAATACAACTATTTTACGATACTATCGTGTACATATATTCTTAAATTAATTAATAAAAAATCAAACGGATACATTTTATCGTTTTTTCCTGCTACAATTGATGTTACGTTTATATTCAAGTATTGATAAGACTGCATTTCAGGATAAAAAGGAAAAAAAACTACATTATTTATAAAAGGATAGCATTCCATTAGCAGTAGGTTTGAAAATCAATGAAGTAGTGGAACATTTAATGCATAAAATAAGTTGATGTTGACGAGACAGGTTTATGTGGATTGAATAAAATTATTACTATGTAACAACATACAGATTGAGAGCTCTACCAACGAAGTACATTGATGGTTCTTCGTTGGTGTGGCTGCATATTATTTTAACTATGTAATCTTACAGTTATATAACCGACGTAAGGTAAAAAACTATGTAATTAAGGAATATGCTAGCGCATCTAATCTGGTTTTATCTTTAAATCATGATTTTAAGATTTCCACACTTACTCCTAAATATGCCATTAGATTACAATATATCATGCAAAATACTTCCTCTTAAATTCATGTTTTTTTATTAAAGTAGTTCAACTAAGCCCATAGAGTTCAAATACGTCACCAAACTAGCCCTAATAAAATTTCGAATTACTGCTTTCAAAATGATTCATAAGTTTCATCCTCCTATTCTGTACAAAGTGCCTAAGGTATCCCAAATTTATGCTAAATTAAATTTAGCGTCTGGCAATCTGACGATAACAATTTAACTTCCTAATTGGAGAATACTATCTTAATAATGTCAAGTAAAGATTTATTTCATTGATTGATTACAAGATATTAACAATTAACGTAGAAGCATCGTCAAAAAGATATTTTTTTCATAAGGCGACATACTAATGAAGATATTTAAGAATGTTAGTTATGCATCTGGTTTAGTGGCCATGGCAACCGATACTTCAGCCAAGAAGTCTGAGATCTGTTTATGTTTTGCAACAGTTTTCTGCAGGAGGAGTCCTAGCTCAGATTTACTTAGTTGTTGGAGCTGAGCAGAGGAAACCTGGCTCATCACAGTCTCAAGGTCCTCGTTTAGTATAGAGGGAAGAGAAGGTTCGGCCAGGTTTGCTCCGGGTTCGGATATGGTTGTTTCGGGTTCGGATTGTCTTTTTCCGGGTTGGGAACTGTTTGTTCCAAGCTCGGAACATGTAGGTTCGGAATGAGCCAAGTTTCCAGGCTTGAGAATATCCAAAGGTTCATGGTTCCCTTCAACCTCAGGGTTTTCTTTCTCCGGAGTAGGTTGAGGTTCAGTCTCCTTGTCTTTAACCTTCTCTAGAATAGATGTAAAAGGGGAGGAGGAGAACCGCCGGGATAACCGTTCAACCCTGACAGCCAACGGTTCTTCCTCCTTTTCAGGAGTATCAGGCGTTAAACCGGAAACGGAGATAACCTTAGTTCCCGGCTGATCGGCAGGGGTTGCGGAGTTTACTACGATCTTAATAGGAGACATTTCGATCAATCCATTGTCAGTAGGAGAAGGTGATGGACCATTAAACAATGCTTCCTTAATCTTCTCCTCCTCTTCCTAAACAAAAAATTTTTTAAAAAAAAAATTGCTAAAAAATTTGGATAAATTTCAAAGATTATTCGAATTATAAATCAGAAAGATTTTTTATTTATCATTTAATTACAAAGTCGCTAGGGGTGTTTAAAAATTTCAACAGAACAATGACAAATAACACAATCCTTCAGGAGTCAAGGACAAAGGCGACTTTCAATCCACATCTTTCTGATTCTCAGTAAACAGAACACATTGTAATTGTTTTGACATAATCTTGGCGCACCCTAACGATATCCCTGAACAATAAGAGAAGCTTTCTTTTCTGCCTGATTCCAAAAATTTGTGATGATAACTAATTATAGTGATATAATGATAATAATGATGTAATTAAGAACTGCACCTGAGAAGTGATTTCAACGACAGGAGATTTCTTCTTCCAGAATCCCATCCGACCCTCCTTACGTAACCTAGAACAAACATCAAGAATTAATACAATAAAAAAATGTTTGTCAATTAATGTCGAAAGATATAATTACAGATTTCCCTTTTTCTGGTACTAACAAACCTTTGCTAAACAATTTGAATTCGTTCATGCAAAGTCGAGATAAGTTTAAATCGGGAACATTTCATTTCTTGTCCTCTTGGACCCCCTTGGACTATGACCATATATAGAAATATCTACAATGTCTTTTAAAAATGAATAAAAAATCCCTTTAACAAAAGCTGATTTACCTAGCTGTGTAGTTTGCTAGAACATTTTTAACTGTAACGTCTTGAATTGGCTTGAGTCCCCTAAACACAATATATTTATTTGGAAATTATTATAATAATAATGCTTAATAAGATTTATATGTATTACAAGGGTCCATATAATTCCATCCAATATGATCCCAAGTGTTGATTGATTAATATTAGGGGCAGAAATTAACCGTGTAGTTTTTGTTAACAATTATGTCAAGTTGTAAAAAAATCCTTTCTGCAGAATGTATTCTGCAAGGGAGTGTTTATTTTTCTGTATATCATAATTTATCTCTTTCATATTTTATATCTTTTAATTTTCCCAAATGCACTAAATATTTCTGAAGTGTAATACACGTACACTAAAAACTTGCCCAAGTTCACAATGACACAGAAAATGTATATTTACGCCCCTAAATGCACTTTCATACCCGATCCCATTTAGGATAAAAAATGGAATCATGTGGACCACGGTCTGATGTATTTTAATTTAGTGCTTCTATGTTTTCTTATATATCGTGCAATGCATCTTTATGAATGTATGTAAAGTGTATTTTAACTATTGCTAGCAAAACAGATAATGAATAATGATGGATGATGATTATTATAATTATTATTATTATTATCATCAAACTTATTTTTTTTCCATTAGGATTTAAAAGGTATTATTCCAGTAAAATAAACAATTGAATTTATCTAGAAAATAGTTAACATTCTTACAGAAAATACAAGATAAGTATTTGAGGAATTATTTAATTGATTAAAGGTTGCCTTTTTTACAATCAATATTGATATTTGTGATGAAAGAAAAAAATAACACCGGAAAACAGAGCTGAGATATCGTCGTTTTCCTATCTTAAAGGTCAGTCGTTGTCTCGACTGCAAAATAGTGTTGTTAATCGTTTTGGATCGTTTAAAAAAAATATTAAAACTTACAGGGTTTGAAAACTGTTAAGCTTTGATTTGATTATTTTAGTAATATCTTTGACCTAATGAAATAAAAAGTCCAAAACGATCGTTACGACACGTTTGTTTTTGCATCGTTATAGGTCGTTTTTTTAAACATATAACTTCTGCTAGGGCTCAAATTTCAATTATGTGAGAAAAGCTAATATTTAGAATACAAGTTTAATTACATTTGTAATTTTTACACTGTGCTAAATTTTGGCTCTGAAAGAAAATATAAAAAAAAACCCCGGACCCAGAACTAACAACCCGAAGGCACATTACTACTCATAGAGGATCTATTGATAATTTAACAGATGAATAACAAAGATATGTTCAATGTTCATCGTATCAAGGATACCGTTGGAGTCCCTTTATTATGGTAACATAATTACTTTATACTCCTTAGATCAGCTGGTTGCTGAGAGGCTAGATCTCCAACTGTACGGATACTGCACCTCTTCAGTTCTACTTCTAGAACCTAAATCATAATTCTTTAAATAATACTAATCCTTTTTTATTTTGCTGTCTTTTATTAGTTACATTTTTAGTAATACATCCTCTCCATTCTTTACGCATTCATTTGTTACACAAACAAACCTTAACCCATGTACTAGTGCCAACAAGCTGAGAGATCAGTTCAGAAACAGAATTATAGACTAACCTTAACCCATGTACTAGTGCCAATAAGTAGAGAAACTGAATTATAATCTAACCTTAACCCATGTACTAGTGCCAAGTTGAGAAACTGAATTATAATCTAACCTTAACCCATGTACTAGTGCCAACAAGTTGAGAAACTGAATTATAATCTAACCTTAACCCATGTACTAGTGCCAACAAGTTGAGAAACTGAATTATAATCTAACCTTAACCCATGTACTAGTGCCAACAAGTTGAGAAACTGAATTATAATCTAACCTTAACCCATGTACTAGTGCCAACAAGTTGAGAAACTGAATTATAATCTAACCTTAACCCATGTACTAGTGCCAACAAGTTGAGAAACTGAATTATAATCTAACCTTAACCCATGTACTAGTGCCAACAAGTTGAGAAACTGAATTATAATCTAACCTTAACCCATGTACTAGTGCCAACAAGTTGAGAAACTGAATTATAATCTAACCTTAACCCATGTACTAGTGCCAACAAGTTGAGAAACTGAATTATAATCTAACCTTAACCCATGTACTAGTACCAACAAGTTGAGAAATTAGTTGAGAAACTGAATGTTAAACTAACCTTAACCCATGTACTAGTACCAACAAGTTGAGAAATTAGTTGAGAAACTGAATTATAAACTAACCTTAACCCATGTACTAGTGCCAACAAGTTGAGAAATTAGTTCAGAAACTGAAGAATCACATCCAACTAACTCCGGGAAGATACAGTTACGTGATACATCCAAGGGAGGACTCTCCTAAACAAATGTTTGATTAAAATACATAAAAACACAATGAAATGGTGAGTCAACGTAAACTTAAGTTAACTCCCTTTTTAAAGGGACTGTAGACATAATTTACCACTTTATGAAGAGTGACCTGTCTGATTCACCACAATACCCTCCACAGCTTTATCTGTGCAATAATGAGGAAGAAAAAGTATTGCTCTCACCATTTCCTTCATTAAAACGCATGTCCATTTTGCAGCTTAAAAATTATCAAGTTTTTAAACGGTAGAACAAGGATATCTTCCGATATTTTGCTCAAACAAAGCGTAAAGGACACCGTTGTGAATCGAGTATGCAACTTTGAAAATTGGTCTCTTTAAATTACATTAATGAAATTAAAGTCCTTATTAAGTTGAGACTTTTTTTTGCTTGCTACCTGATATATATCGCTTGCTTCGAACCCGGGAATATCCTGAAATAAAATTAAATGAAAAAGAAATTATTTTTATTAGAAACCTTCGACTCGGGGATACAATTGATTCTGGGAAAACTTTTTTAACGTAAAAATAAGGAATTTACAAATTATTTGGAAATAATATTTGATACTTTTTAACATAATTAGGAAGGGAAAATAAGAATTCGCTATTTTATAACAAAACTAATTATTTTTTTTATGTACTCCGAGCAATTAAAATTGCACAAAAATATACATTATCTGATCTGGAATATTTCAATTATTCCCCCTCCCCCCTCTCCCTTGAAGTTAGGTATGTTTGCGGGGAGAACATAAAAAAGATTATGTTTTTTCCCCTGCTTAATTTGGGAAAATAAATGATTTTTTGGGAAAATTATCAAAAAGGATGAAAAAAACTTGCCTTTTAATTTCCAATTTTTAATTTCCCCTTAATTCTTAAAAATAAACACAGCCGTTTTTTTACAAAAATTTGTATTTTTTAAGAATATAAAGAAACCTGGGAGTAATCTCTAGAAATCAACATCTCTGTATCCGTGAGCTTTAATTTCTTCCTAAACAAATATATTTATTATTTATGATTCCGGTGTCCGGATTTATCCAGTTCTCTGGATCCAGATTTAATGGGACCCTACGGTACCTGGGATTGGGCTTTGTTTTCTTTTTCCTAAATAACGTAGTCTCGTTTTAAATAAAAAGAGAGGAGGTAGATTCTTAAGAATGGAAGAAGAAAGTTTAAGATATAACCAGAAATATTAATGGTGATCCCACGTCTAAAAATAAAAAACTATCAAAAAAACCTCTTTTTTATTTTTTTACTTTGACAAAAAAAAGATGTTGACAAAAATTAACCATCGTTTTTTTAGTTAAATATAACCCAACAATATAACCCACACACTTTCTTCCATATACGGATACAGGAGATGAGTATACATCTAAGAGAACCAAGAGCTTGTAGTCATTCATTTCATGGACTAGTATTGGAACCAAAAATATAAAAAATAAACAATGGAGATTTTATTCGTTTGAACTTTTATTTGTAGAAAGTAATTCGATTTAAAGTTAAAAAGTTAATCGATCTTGATTTTTCATATTTGAATAATTTTAAATTAAAACATTGAATTGAAATTTTTAGTAAAATAATTGAAATTTTTAATCTAAATAATAAAATTTTCAATTGAATTATTGAAAGGATTTTCAATTGAATTATTGAAATTTTTAAGTAAATTATTGAAATTTTTAATTGAATTATTTAAGTTATAAATTTAAACTATGAAATTTGAATAATAAATTTCTAATTGAATTATTAAAGTTATTAATTTAATGAAATTAAACTCATAAATTCGGCTTTAAAAACCCCCTACATACTTCAAGCAAATATTGCGGTCTGACTCCGGATATTGACTTCATTAACAATTATACTAAAAGCAACCCAGGCGTGAACTTGTGAAAATTCTAAAGAAAAAAAAATTCATAAAAAAATCAAACAAAATACTGGCTAATGAAACAAATTCATTAAAACTTTATATCACTCCCCCTCCCTCCCTCCAACAAAAACCTGGCTAATGAAACAAATACATTAAAACTTTTCACCCCCTCCAACAAAAACCTGGCTAATGAAAAAAATACATTAAAACTTGATATCACTCCCCCTCCCCCCCCTCAACAAAAACCTGGCTAATGAAACAAATACATTAAAACTTTTTAAACTCCCTCCAACAAAAAAAGGCAACAAAAAAAATGTTGAATGAAATAACTTAAGTAAACAAGAAATATTCTAACCAATCATCTTTTATAAAAACTCAAAGAATCGTCTCTGCAAAACGATCGTACTTTTAACAGATAATCATTAAACATATTTTTCCAAGAGATTTACAATGGGAAAAATTTCCTGACATAATAAGACTTGAAAATGGCTGATCGTATTTTCTAAGAGATGATTAAATTGACTAAAAAGCCGTTACACATAAACAACTTTAAGTGATATTTTTATCGAAAAATGATAAATTATAAAATTATCAAAATTTTAATATCAATAAATTTCTACTAAGTAGAATTAAATTGTTCAAATATGAAAGGTAACAAATCATAACTTTTTAGAGATTAATTTTAAAATAATGCAATGTACCTTATTAGCTTTCTACTCGTGGTTTAAAATATAAATCTTTTAGGGCGCTTCACGGACCTTTTTCGGCTTTCTAAAAATCTTTATATTTTCCTTTTCAAGTTGCCATTTCTCTCTTTACGTAAGTGGCTTTTGAAAATAATTAATGTCGACATTTTTTCACAAGCTAATTTTGCCGTTTGTCACTCTTCCCTTGAGTCATTCGAGTTGTCACAAAAAATTATGGCCAGAACGGTTTAGCGATTTTAACGTTTATTGAATACAAACAGACAGACAGATAGACAAACAAACAATATATATATATATCATTTATTTATAAATGGTGAACTATTTCATCTTTTTGTTTTAAAATGATGACTTCACGCCCCCCCCGCAACGAGCTCCCCCCCTCCTCCAGTATTCACACGGATGTATTCGCTGCCCAGTGCCAAAGAAACCATGGCGGTTAAAACATTTCAGTTCTACCATTAAATACTTCACAAAGGTTCTGTATTTAGGACTGCAGTTAATCAATATAAATAGTAATTATGTACATCTTTCAGGGGCGTATTGGGGGAGGGGGGGGATTGGAGCTAAGCCACCCCCCATGAACCAGTAAAATCTTTTGATTTCAGGGGGTTTTCAGGCCCTAACGGGCGCTGAGCCCCCCTTGGAAAAATTCCTGTATATGCCCCTGATAACTTCAAGATGAGATAACTATATATTATTCATGTTTCTCAATATTTTCTGTGGTGGTGGTGGTGGTGGGGGGGTTACATCTCTAATTCTCAATATTTCTATCTATGTGTATCTGTTTCGGCACTTGAGTCTTTATTTGAATCATCTCTATATCTCAGGCAGTATCCGTACCAGCTATCAGCTATCTATTTCTGTGTCATCACTGTCTCGTCATGCCTCTATATGTATATATACATGTCTAAGTATATGTGTATATATATTTCTGTATTTCCAGAATGATATGTTGAAAGCCTTATAAATTTTAATAAAAGGTAATTTTTAAGGGTGCGTTTTTTTCATCGTAGCTTTTTTAGAAAATCAATAAACTATGTATGTTATTGTATCTAACAATTTTACGCTACAATGAAGTAAAAATTATTTTCCAATATTTGAAACCCTCTGCAGTTAATATCAAAAACTACGATCTAAATATTTTTGACGTCTGTCCAATATTCATCAAATTTTCCTCCTTTCGCTCGAATTTCCCAAAAGTCGACATTCTACGCAAAAAAACTTAAGTGTGAAAATTAAATATTCAAAAAAAGTTTACCTTTCGACTTTCTCAACTCTGTAAACATTTTTTTTCCAAAAAAAAAAAAAATTCAAGTGAATTACTTGCTTATAAATCACATCTTTTATAACTAGTAGAAGCCCAAGAAAAATTGATAGAAATCATTAAATAATTCGATAAATGAATTTAAAAGTAATTCTATCGCAAACCAATATTTAGCCTGAGGATTCAGCCTACTTCTTGATTTTACAGTTATATACTAGACAGACAATAAACAGTATAATTGCAATAGTAAACAATGGAACCAGGATGTTCAAGAATACATTAAATATTGAAGGACTGTAGACGTAATTTGAGAATATCCTATGCCCGATTCACAAAAAAGGGTCGCGTTTTATAATTTGTTGACAACCCCTTTAATACAAATATTTATGTTTATATAATCATACCACAATTTTAATTATTTTCTCAAATATTGTAGATTTAGAATAAATCTTCAGAACAAAGCCCTCAAATTCTAGTCAAAGAGCAAGGATGGAATTCGCTTTAAAATTCGTTATTAAACATTTTAAATTCGATTTTCTGTAAGTAAGGGTTTATTAATAAAATTGTTCTGACAATCTTTTATGAACGATTTATCAGTTAAATAAGACATTTTGCAAAATGCTCTGACGCAGATTTTTTTCTGGAATTATATAGCGAAAGACTTCCAATTCCTTTACATCCTTGAAATCAATGGTTTTGCAAAAACGCTACTACTACTAATTTATCGAGCATACAATTTTAAAATAAGAAAACCATCTCAAATTCTTGAGGACTGTGGAGCCTTTTTAAAATGAAACCGGTCCTTATTTAAGAGACTTTATCACTCATTTTTTTCTAATTATAGCTAACAGTTTTTGATCTATAACCATAGATCAATGATGTTAAATAATACAAGCCACAGAATAGTTTTTACCCTAATTTCGTTATGAAATGATCATTGAAGATATTTTGACACTTGAACCCGGAGATAGTAATACTTAGCCCTTCACACGCCACCCAAAAAGTGTACTTAAAGATATGTTTTAATGAATTTAGTAGTTTTTGTATTAGAATGTGGAAATTTCTTACTTCTGTTCTTTTCCTCAATGTTTACGGAATACAGGGGCAATTATTGCAAGGAAGACAACTACCCTTTCCTGGGATTCAAAATAGGTAATTGGATATTTCTTATAATATATATATTCATTTATTTAGAACATTCTTTAAAGAAATTTTCATGTTCAAACCAAGCTAAGAATATTCCCATAATTCGACCCGGTTCCCAAATCAAAATTTGAGGCAAATCGGTTCAATGCTTCCTGAGTTATGATCGGACAATAATTTCTACTAGCTTGAAACCCAGTTTTGCCTTTAAAAGTCAACTTTTAATCTTTGAACCAAGCAAAGAACATTCTTCCGAGTTCCCCGATCAATATTTGAGACAAATCGGGAGAAGGGCATATAACTTATGATCACACAGCCAAACAAACAAGCATATAGATTATAGATCTTTGAAAATGGCATCTTTTTAATTTACTGGTAAACCTGTTAATTACTTTCGAGCTAGAGAAGTTCCTAATTTCAGGTTTGGATTTCAAAGTTTAAATCCGTTCCTGCCAATCCTATCCAACCGAGGGGTTGGAGTGGTCCAGGCCCAAATACAAAGGTAATCAACCCAAAAAGAATGTTTTCCGGAGTTTGCTTTTCGGAATAAAACTTTTTTTCTTCAAATTTCATTTTTTTTGCGATTTATGAAACAATGTTTGCTGTTGTTAATTTCTATGATTTATGAAACAATGTTTGCTGTTGTTAATTTCTATGATTTATGAAACAATGTTTGCTGTTGTTAATTTCTATGATTTATAAAACAATGTTTGCTGTTGTTAATTTCTATGATTCACCTATTTTTCTCGAGGAGTATTGAATGACTGGGAAAGGATTGACTAGTTTATGGGCGTATGCAGTGGGGGAAGGGGGTATGGGGGGGGGGAGGGGTTAGAAAGAAAAACATTTTTACGTAATATGATGATAGTAAATTAATGAAGAAGAACAAAAACTTAGTTTCGAGTTTATCTTGTAAACCACAAAGCACTCAAAAATTAACTAAACCAAGCTAAGAACTCAAAATTTGAGGCAAATAAGTTGACGGGTTACTCAGATATGATCGGAAAACACAAACAAACAAACAGAAATGACTTCTTTATAAATAGCATAGTATAAAACCCCAAACAGCTGTACTTTTTACGTGTCATTGTCTAAATCTAAACAACCTACAACTAAAAAGTTTAATTAAAAAATAAAATATCATTAGGACAGTTCCCTTCCAGAGGGACAGTTCTTTGGGAGGAGTTTTGGTCAGTAACAAACAGGTAAATAAATATTAAAGCGATGAAAAAATACCGACTTAAAGGGACTGTAAGCGTAATTTCAAGAGACTCTTAATGAAAAGATGGCAATGCCCGATTTACAATGAGAACCATGAAACCTACTCTTGATCAAAAAAATTGGAAGATAAATTTATATTTTTTTTGACTTGAAGTGTTTTTTTTCTGTGAATTGCTCCATTTTTTCTTATAAGAAGAAATGCAGTCTCCGAGAGTCACTTTGGCAAAGAAACTGCAAATAAAAATATACAGTTTGATTTTAGTAAAACATGGAATATCTATTTCATACTTAATCAGACAACGCCTTTAAAGGCTACTGTTGTAAATCGGGCATTAACAGCTATGCGTGAAAGGTCAATTGAACTTCTGCATTTAGTCCCTTTAATACAAATAATATAAACTTATTTCACATTCTCTACAGTTCATCATTCATCATACATCATTCTTCATTCATCATTCTACATTCTTCATTCATCATCCCCGGAGTCAACCCCCCTCCCTAGCCGGCGTCCTCAAGTTGTGTCTGCGTGTAGCCATTAAGTAAAGAATGAATGAATGACACACTCTTATTTTCTGATCCCTATGCAAAACAATACGTCGTAAACCCCTTAAGAACTTTGAATTCTACTAAATTAAATAATCTAAATTTTGAATATGAAGGATTTACACCATCAGGTTGCAAAGATGTAGGGATTAGGAAATTTGAGTTTGTGGGAAAGACTTAACAAAAGTGTTGTCAGTTTTTTACCATTATACCACCTATTTCAACGGTCATGATTAGAATAAAAATGCAAGTTTTCACAATTTGTAAATCTTTGATCATAAAAATATCTAGAATTTTCTATCTGATAATCCTTGATAATCAGGTTGCAGGACCAGAATGTTCCGCAAGAAATGGAGTTTTAGGAGACTGTAGAACTCTTATTAGATGTGTCAGGTATCAGATTCATGATATTCTAATCCCTATATACGAACAAATTGTAAACTTTCAGATTTGTTTTTGAGATAGATCTTCTCCTATCTGCCCCTTGTATATTACCTCACGGAGAAAGGGGTAAGTAGATGAAACCTTTAAAAATAAATTATTCAAGATCTGTGAATTTCTTAGTCTCCGTGTAAACATATCCTGCAGGTGCAGTCCCAACACTTTCTTATCTAAATAAAGTCTGAACTGAAACAATTTTAGAATATAAATCTAAATTATGATTAAGGAGTTTGCTGTCCTCATACTCTTATAGTGCACACTCCAAAACAAACATCTAACATTATTCAACCTCCCGAGGAGCCCTTTGTTGTAATCCCCAATATCAGAGCATCAGATATAAGTGCTGCTGTCGATATTGCTTTTAAAAACATCAATAAGAGAGAAAAGGTTGCAGAGTCTCTTTTCAACAAACAGATTTTTGCACAGTAAGTATCAACTTAGATAATAAAAATTCATGAGTAGATTTTCTAAGAAAAATATCAAAAGTTGTATTTTTTTCACACATCTGACCTGAGCTTTTCATTTATAATAAATAATAATGTAGACGTGGAACTGCAGCCTTCAGTGCTCAGAGGTTTAAATCAACCAACAGGCAATCAGTAGCGGAAGGAAAAAAAGCAGCACTAGGACTTGAAACTTCAGTTCAACTGTCTGCAAGGTTTAATCTGTCTGAAGCACAAGGAACCTTTGCTCTTCCTCAATTCAGTCTCAAGGGCAGTAGGATAGAAGATACCTGCCCTACTCCCCCTCTCAACTGTCCAGATTCTCTCTACAGAAAGATCGATGGAAGTTGCAACAACAAAAATCAGACATTGTGGGGAAGGGCAAATACTCCTCTTCAAAGACTATTACCATCAAAGTATGAAGATGGACTAGACAAGCCTCGCATAAGTAATCTTCCTTCACCTAGAGCAGTTAGTAGCTCTACAACTAGTTCGCAGGTACAAATAACTTTATAAATACCACTTTACAAAAATGCATATTTCACACTTCTATTTTTAGGACCAACCTCATGGAAAATATACTTTGATGTTGATGCAGGTTAATTCTTTTTTATTCTAAAAATTGATAATTGAAATCATAAATAAAACATAAAATTATTTTAGTGGGGACAATTTGTCGACCATGATGTTACCCATACACCTACAGTGAAAGGAGCTAATGAAGTTGGGATTATTTGCTGTGGTTCTGATGGAAGTCTTTTACCAAAAAATAACTTACACAGAGAATGCCTTCCCATTGAAATTCCAGAAAATGACAGGTATACTTGGTAAATTAAAAGACAAATTTCAAATATTTATTTATTGTTTAGGTTTTATTCAAAGTTTGGACAAAGGTGTATGGAGTTTGTTAGATCAATGCCTGCCCCAAGAACCTCTTGTAATTTTGGTCCAAGAGAACAAGTAAACCAAATAACAGCATGGATTGATGGATCGAATGTTTATGGATCAGAAGACGAAGAAGCTCGTAAACTTAGACTACTTGCTGGTGGCAGACTAAGAGTTACCAAGGTTCAAGGTATACTTTTAGCATCAAATCATTAAAAAAATAGATTGAAATCAAATTAGAAAATTTCTTAACTTGTCTCTTTCTATTTAAAAAAGGAAGAGATTTACTCCCTCTGAATCCAAATGATTGTGAAAATGAGAAGCAACATCGTTACTGCTTTGCAGCAGGAGATTTAAGATGCAATGAGCAATTGGATTTAACAGTTACCCATACTGTGTGGATGAGAGAACATAACAGGTTTATTTATAGAATAAATACTGAGATTGATTACTTAAAGAATTTCTTTCAGAATTGCTAAAGAGTTGCAGAGATTAAATAACAATTGGGATGATGAAAAATTATACCAAGAAGCACGGAGAATTGTAATAGCACAGCTGCAACACATAACATACAATGAATGGTTACCCATAATTTTGGGAAATAAATATATGGATAAGTGGAACATGCACCCTAAAGATTCTGGGTATTCAGAAAACTATGATCCTTCAGTGAACCCAACTATTACCAATGTATTTGGAACAGCAGCATTTAGATTTGGACATTCATTGATTCAGGGACAGATTGAAAGCTTTAATACATTTGGAACCAATGTTAAAACAATATCATTGACAAAGACACAGTTTGCACCGTATGATCTGTATGATAACTTAACCTTGGAAACTTTTGTTCGAGGCCTGACAACACAAAAATCCCAGTCCCTTGACACTGCATTTTCTGAAGAGATTGTGGGCCATCTGTTTGAACAAGATAATGAAGGGTTTGGAATGGATCTAGTTGCATTGAACATCCAAAGAGGAAGAGATCATGGACTCCCACCATATATGGATTGGAGAGAGTTGTGTAACCTGGATACATTTGACTCATGGAAGGATTTAGCTACAATCTTCCCATCCATGGAGGTGGCCAGACTTCAAGCCTTATATCAAACAGTGAATGATATTGATTTGTTTGTAGGTGCATTATTAGAGGTAAATGTGTGATGAGTAAAAGTTAAAAAAATTATATATTTATTTATTTATTTACTTATCTATTTATATTTATTTAGAGCAGTGAAGAAGGAATTCTTGGGCCAACATTTCAGTGCTTGCTTGGAGATCAATTTGCCAGGTATAACATGAGATAATATCAACTGAGAACCATCAGTTTAATAAACAAAATTATCTTGTTGATGTCAAATTTCCTATACCAAAGCATCACAACTTTTTTATCAGATTGAAAACTGGAGACAGATTTTGGTACGAAAACAAAGAAAATGGTTTCACTTCCGACCAACTGATGGAGTTAAGACACTCAAGCCTAGCTAGGTAAGACAAATTTAACATATAGAAAAAAATTTGAATGTACAGCTTAAACTAAAACATTTTCTTTAATTATTAAGCAGCTTAAATGCACATCCTTAAAAATCCAGAATCCTTTAAGCTTCCTATTTATCCAGAAACAGTTACATCTTTTAGCGGGAAGATTTGTGTTCATAGTTCCCCCAAAAAAACGTAAATTGGGTATGGGTTGGCAATAGTGTTTTGTCAAACAAAAATGATAATATATTTTCAAGGGTGCTCTGTGAAAATGTAGAGGATATAGGGTCTATACAACCATTAGTGTTTCTCCAGCCAGATGTAAATAATAGGTACTGTTTGATTTTCATTTAACAATGTTTCCATTTTATAATAAATATATTTAAAAAACTTTTGTCTGAGAAATGCGAAAACAAATCCTCATACAAAGAAAACATCCTACGTATCCAGAAAATGTTGACAAACATTTCAAAATTGTGCAAAGTATTCCAGGATTTAACAAGAATATCTAGCAAAGCAAGTTTTCAAACCTTTAGATCCGGTATCAAAAATTTAATAAATGAAATACGTCTATTAAGGAGAGCTGGCTGTGAATCAGAGATGATACCAAGAATTAATCTCAGTAAATGGAGAGAATAGAATAAAATAAGTTTGGTTTCTATCAGAAAGAAATAGCAATCTTAAATATCTTTTAATCAATAAATTAAATAAAAGAAAACTTTCTTTAATTACTTCTTGTGAATAATAAAGTTAGAAAGTCTGTAATGCCGGTTCTAAGAAAAAGCTAAAAGTACAAAAAATAGTATTTCTTACCATGTTGTAATAATCTAATTGGCAAAACAACAAGACCATGCCGGACCATCACACACAAAACAAAAAAAGATTAAAAAAAATTATTCTTCCTACCTCAGTTGAAGAGGGTGTGTCACATTTCCTCTTAAGGATACCAGCTGAGGGAGAGGCGTGACTGGGCGAGGGAGAATATTTAGCCCAAGGAGTGGCGGAAAATTTTGGGGAGGCCATAGATGGAGAAACTGCCATAGTAGCAGGTCTGTTTTCCATTGCCTTCCGCCTTAAATTCGTTTTTAGTTAAGTGATTTTTAATTGAAAACAATTAGAAAAAAAGGACTGAAAACATGTAATGTGTAAAAATAAAAATAATATGATAAAAGATTAGAGGAAAGAATAAGAACTAGTGAAAAAATAAAGAAATAAAGAAAATGACTCCTCCCTATTGTTAATCATGAAGGGGAATTGGAAAACCACTCTTCGTATGAAGGGCCAACGTAATTTTGCCTTCAACTAGTTTTGCTTTTAGTTGGTTTGTTTTTGGGTCGTATTTTTACTAGATTTTCTTTCAGGATCAAAATTTGGCAAATTGAAACAGAAACAAATTTTTAAATTTAAACATTGGCTTTTCTTAAGTTATGTGAACGTTGGACCCTGGAAGAAGATACATGAAAAAAACGAACCAAAAACATCCCAAAACTATCTAAAAATAAACATGATATAACTATCGTTTTTGGATCATTAAAATTTTAATTTTTTTGGGGGGTTCAATCTGAAATAATCCGCAATAAAAAAAAAAACACGAAAAGTGAGTGAGAGAAGGTGTATACCTGGATAGATTGAGAAGCATTGCCCCCCTTGATTTTCCTGCGCCAAGATTTTTCTTCTCATTTTTCTCCTATGAATTGTTTGTTGATAATTTGGTTGGACAAATTACGTTTTAAATAAAAGAAAATCTAAAATATTTGCTTGAAGCTTATCAAAATATCAAATATCAAATATTTGGTCAAATAAAAATCTGATAAAATCAAATTTCATGATTTTAACAAACAATTGCTTTAAAATACGATAAAATGATTTTAATAATAAAAACACAAATTTTTCACCGTATTTTTTTTACAATAATGAATGAATTTACTCTTCTATTATTTTTTAAATTATACACCAAACCCAACCAACCCATACTCTTAAGGTCTTAAAGTAAATATCCTATATCAAGAATGTTAGGTCTTACCTGGAGAGTATTTATAGATCGCTTCTTAATCTCTACTTCAGGTTCAGGTTCACTCACAGGATTCGGGTTCAGGTTCTGGTTCTCCTTGTTACTTTCAGGAGAGGTTCCAGCACCAGTTTCTCCAGGTGGAACCTTGGAAACAGACACTGATGCTCCGGACACATCTTTAGATCCAGCTGCTATTTCTCCAGGCACATCTTTAGATCCATTTGCTACTTCTCCAGACACATTTTTAGTTATGGTTTCATGAGGAGTTATTCCTGACATATCACTATCTGTAGAACTGTTGAGATCCTTGATTTTGTCTAACAGAGTATCTTCATCAGCCCCGAAATCCGTCTCAGCACGCTCTGCTGCCTCAGCACTATCTTTCAATCCAGGAGCAACGTTTTCAAGATCTTTCCGGCTTTCAATTTTCTCTTTGATACTCTCAGGCCCTGTGGGATGGTGTTCAATCCCCTTGTCCTTGATATATTCTGTGCTGTCCTCAGTGTCCTTAATAAATAAGGAAATGTCAAAACTATTATAAACGTTTCTTCCCGAGAAATAATGATTAAGACATGGTTAGATAATCAGACAACATTTGTAGACCAATTCTAAGGAAAATAATAATTCACAGGAAACCTCTAATTCCGATGCATTATATCTGCGTACGGCTGAAGGGGGAAACCCTAGAAAACTAAAACCCAACCATGTCGTTAAAAAGAAGGGGCACCGGTTTACAAGTGATCATAAGTAAAGCTCGTTAAATAAATATAAAAAAACACAATTCTAAAAGGGATAATAGTAATATGTAAAATACTTTTTATTTATATATACTCTGATACACGAACATAATCGAATAACTTGACTATATTGAAGATACGATTACTGATCTTATTGTAAACTTTAAGTACACTTGATATAGGCCATTCCTATTGTACCTTCCTTGCCAAGAGGCTAACCTGCGAGGTGTCCATCCAATCTGGTTTTATGAGATGAGAATGTTTGTTTTTAAGATGATATGAGAGTTGGTATCTATCCATGTACACTACTGTACAGCCCTCCTCTGTACAACGGTACTCCTACAACAAACAATCATGGCTTCTATAAGATGAAATTTTGCCTCTCCTTTATAGATTACTAAGACTAAAAGTCTATGAGAATTGGTCATTAAAGGGACTGTAAGCGTAATGTTAAGCGACCCATCATGAAGAGATGGCAAAGCCTGATGGAAAACCTTAATCTGATCAAAAATGTAAAGATACCATCGTTTCCGACTTGAAACTTGTTTATTGCTTCTTCTAAGCAAGAAAGGTCCAAGCCACTAAAGCAGAGAAACCGCAAATGAAAATAAACAGCTTCAAGAAACAAAAACATTGATATCTAATTTATACTTGATCAGACAAAGATTTTAAGAGTAAAGTTGTAAATAGGGCATTGCAATCTTTGTATTGGGGGGGGGGGGGGGGGGGAGGTTACGCTTACAGTCCCTTTAAGCGCTTGTTAGATATGTTTTATATAACAATATATCTATTTGCAATTAACAAATGGGTTCTGAGCTTAATTAATTGTAAATTTTTCAAGAAATAAAAAAAATGTGAAAGATAAACTATTAAAATATTTTGGAGCACGGTATTAAGGTTGATTAAGCGAATATGAATGATAAAAGTATACTGTTTCTACATAATGCATAAAAACACTTAGACAATCTACCTACACACTTCAGTTAGGCTATTTCCTTAACTTAAAAACATCATTTAAAAAAATATAACTTAAGTAATATTAAAAAGTGAGACTTGTAAACAACTGTATGCTGTGTGTTTTCAAGCAGCCTAAAATCCGCTTTCGTGCACATATTTAGCTAATCGTCATTCTTATCAGGTCTTTTCTGATCATAATTGAAAAGATGTCATGCTCGAATTTTTAACGCTCTGAATGAAAAGAAAACCATCACATATTTTTCTAGTTATTTTTAATAAAAAGTCCCGAACTACAAGTAGAATAACTAACCGAGTGTTCAGATTGTGATTGTAGGTCAACATCCATATCTGCAATTAGACTACCAGCTGCTGGATCATTTACTTCCTGAAGAATAAACCTTTCATCTGTTCATTTAATTTTTTCGTATTTCATTCACTGGATGGGACGGTCTGGTGTACATGAGGCGGGGGGAGTGGGAACAAATCGATAGTGATTTAAACTCTAATTTTGAACCTACCCCCCCCCCCCCCCCTATTTACAAAGAAGTAAAAATGGATTTTAAGATTATGGATCGAATATTCAGATAATTGCACATCATTTTTTGATTCAAATGCAGCTTTCACTTAAGTTTGTTTTATTGGAACTGTAGTACACGCAGGTTTAGAGTTTCCATGGTTGTGCCTTCCATGATTTTGACAAAGTAACAATACAAATAATACTAATGTAAGGTTAAGAAGAATAAAGATGGGTGAACCTGACTATCAGGAATACTAGTAGGCTCCTCCTCGACGTTCTTTTCCTCTGTCTTGAAAGATATCTCCTCAGCTATATCAAGCTGCTCTTCAGCGTTATCCGTAGCAGCCTCGGGTGAAGTAGTTTGTATATCTTGAGCTGCTTTTAACTTCTAAACAAGTCAATTACTTTAACCAAGTCCCAAAATTATCCATTAAGTGAAAGGATACAAATTGGAAATTTGTTTTAAAAAAATAACAAATTAATTTTAAAGATTGGAAAGTTTTCTTTAAAACCGATGACCCCTTTTACATGTAATATTTCCCCACTAGGTTCTTAAACTATTTACATTTATCTTCTATTTAACACTTGATCGTTTTCAATAGGGATTCTCTAGTAAAGTGACCCGCAGGGGAAATAAAGATTAAAGAAGATTGGAAGTAGTGTTTGCAAATCAAAAAAAACGAAATTATCTTTTGCATGAATCCTTCAATAAAATATTTAAGGGACTGTAAACTTAATTTTAAGTAAGCCTCCATGCAAAGATGGCAACGCCCGATTTAAAATGGTACACTTCTTAATCTGATCAAAAAATGAGTATTGGTGAGATACCGTCGTTATTTTGACTCGGTAAGTGTTTACAAATAAACGGTTTTAAAGTAAGTGTTCGCGAAAAGTGAAAGGGGGTATAGGCTTAATGCGATAAAAAAGCGCTTTTGATCGCCACAAATCTTACTTCTATCTGTTGCGTCTATAAGGAAAACATTGTTAAAACCGACTACTACCGAAGAAGGTAGTGTCCATACAAATTCAGTAAGAACATTCAACTCTGATCGTAAACAAATCAATTTAATTCCAAAGAAATCATTCAGATATTACTGACATTAGTCATCGATTATTTTTCGACGCATTCGCAAATAGTTGTTCTTTCATATTATTTTGTATTTTTCATGATCTGAGAGTTACTTTGAAAACATTTATTCCTGTTTCGAAGATTTTTGATAATGCAGACGACATTTTCATATTTTCCAGGAATGTTCAAATCCAGTACCAGAGAAAATCATTTTAAAAAAATCAAAAATATTAAGAAATATTAACTAAATACGAATGCGTCGAAAAATAATCGATGACTACTGTTTGTATTATCTAAATGATTTGTTTGGAATTTAATTGATTTGTTTACGATCCTAGTTGAATGTTGCATCTTTCCGAATTTGTATGGACGCTGCGTTCTTCGGGATGAGTCGTTTTTAACAATTTTCTCCTTATAGACGTAACAGATAGAAGTAAGATTAGTAGCGATCAAAAGCGCTTTTTTATCGCATTAAGCCTATACCCCCTTTCATTTTTCGTGAACACTCCCTTTAAGAAACAAAAACATTGATAAGTAATTCATACTTGATCAGACAACGCTTTTAAAGGTACCGTCCTAAATCAGTCATTGTCATCTTCGCATAAAGGTCAATTGAAACTAGTTTAACAGTCCCTTAAACAGGTACTGCTGTGGTATACAGAGATACCGCTTTATAAATAAAATTACTTCTATATTCCATTTAAGGGAAATACCTGCTCTGGTGTAATGTAATCTTCAAGTATATCCAGTATCTCCTTATTTCCAGCTGCAAGCTGAATACAACTCAACCCATGCAGAGTTTTCATATCTAACACAAGATTTTATAATTGTTTATATAGTTAGTTAATATTTATCTGGTCATAGATTTTTTTTCTTCATCTTTCTAGGTCCCTACAGTTAAAATAACAATAACAATAACAATAACAATAACAATAACAATAACAATAACAATAACAATAACAATAACAATAACAATAACAATAACAATAACAATAACAACAATAATAATAATGATAATAATAATAATAATATCATATCATAATATGAATATTATAATTATAATAATTATCATAATTATCATAATATTTCTTAATGGAAACATTAAGTTCAAATTTATTTTTAATTCTCTCGGTTATTTGATTAAAATTCAAAACAAGTATTGATTTCTATAATAGTTACAGTAATCTTTATACACTTCGCTAGTTTATCTTTCTGTCTGTATTCAATAAACTGAACCGATTAAACCGATATGAACCGATATGGTAGCTCATTATGTCATCAATTATAATGTAGTTGGACATTACTAGTTCAAAATAAATCATACTATTCCATTTTACAATACTGCACTTTTTTAACTCAAGTTACACCTGTTAAAATCTTCATAAAAACTTTTAAAAATTTCTATTTTTCTACTTTTTTCATTTGATTTGGTACTTTTTAATGTTTCCCCCAATTACATAACTTAATCATATCATTGGCTGTTTTCATGTTTTTGTTTGCGTGCAAACTACCTGTTTTAGCACCAGCCTGCAGAAGAGCTAAAGCCTGCTTGGTGTTTCCAATAGATATTGCTTCGTGGAGGGGAGTTAATCCATCTTTGGTGCAGTCTACTCTACACCTTAATAGATGGCTAAGAATAAAAAAATTCCTTTCAATTATTAAGAAAACAGCTTGTAAGTTAAATCACGTTGTTTACTCCCCACCTCTGCCCAAAAAAGCTTTGAATCTATTTTACGTCATAGAAAGTTGCATTAAAAAGAAAAGTATGAAAACAAAAAAAATCCTGGTAAAAGCCTTATACTGTAAGCGCACAAAAATTAATGAATAAGTACACAAAGATAAAAATAAAGACAAACTATCTAGAAAAAGAATTACAAAAAAATCAGAAAAAAAGAACTAAAAACTACAAGATATACAATATACATTTATACAGAAATAGATTCAAATGCTTACCCAGCATCTATCAGAAGTTTCATAATCTTCACAGCATCTTTCTTCTTAGAGATTGATAGCTCATGAAGCGGATACCAACCTAAAAATTTTACATTGAAAGTTATTCAATTGTAACCCTCATGTCAGAACTTTCTATTCCTAATTTTCCCAGCAATTTCAGCATAATCCAGGATCATTGGAATATTGGAGTGAGTTCCTACCTGAACTATATATAACCTTGGAATATAATTTCCCCAGCAGTTTCAGCATGTTGGAGGAGCATTTTCCAGGACCATTGGAATACTGGAGTGAGTTCCTACCTGAACTATATCTAACCTTAGAATATAATTTCCCTAGTAGTTTCAGCATGTTTGAGGAGTGGAATACTGGAGTGAGTTCTTACCTGAACTATATCTAACCTTAGGATATAATTTCCCTAGTAGTTTCAGCATGTTGGAGGAGTATTTACCAGGACCATTGGAATACTGGAGTGAGTTCCTACCTGAACTATATCTAACCTTAGGATATAATTTCCCTAGTAGTTTCAGCATGTTGGAGGAGCATTTTCCAGGACCATTGGAATACTGGAGTGAGTTCCTACCTTAATTATATCTAACCTTAGGATATAATTGGCATGACCTCCTACTTGAGAAGTCCTTGACCTATATATAGGCTTGACATCCTACCTGCATTGCATTATCATTGATCTATTATCCTGGACACATGGGCTACATTAATCTAATGCATAAATATTGACATATGGATCGAATTGAACTCCTTCCAGCATTATCATTGGTCAATGGAAAAAATAATCCTCCTCGAAATATTGTTCTTGACCTATGGAATGGATTAACCTCCTACAAGCCTTATCATTGGCCAGTGGAAATAACAGTATATACTCCGATCCTTCACCTATGGAAAGAATTGAACTCCTACCAGCATTATTATTTGCCAGTAGATATAACTTACCCTCTAGGTGCATATTATGCTTTACGTATTGACCTCCTTTCTCCATTATCCTTATCCTCCTACCTGCATTATCCTTGACATCAGGATTAGCTCCTTGACTGAGAAGAACCTTAACCCTGGGAACATCTCCACGTTTAGAAGCTTGATGTAGCTGGGTCTCACCAAACTTGTTCCTCTTATTATCCACCTCAGAAATCTACAAACAATATTTATAGAAGTTTTTTTCATCTGAGATTTAATTTTTTGTTTTCCTTAATTCATTTTTCAAAAAACTAATTTTCCTTTCGTCTGTAACTTTTCTTCAAATAGTACTAAAGGTTTTTTGGTGCAACTAAGATAATGCTAATGGTAACTGTTAGGACTTAGGTATACATCAAAGTTCATGAATATAAGGCAATACTGACAAATGCTAAATAAAGACTGAAATCATGATCCCAAGTGAGACTACCCAAAGTTATTCAATTGTAACCCTCANCCCCGGCCTCCTTCTACCTTCTCTTCAGTATCAGCAGGTTCTGCAGGAACTACGGAAATAGTTGTTTTCTTGATACCACTGCGTCGAGATCTTCGGCTAGGTGTCCTGGAATATAAATTTTCCTAAAGAGATGATATTTCTCAATCCATTTAAATTGCCTGGTCTAAAGATACCAATAAAAGCTTTGTTTGTTCGAGCCCAAAAAGGGGAAATCCATGATTACGGTGGTGTCTATGTTCCTCTAGCATGGGATTCCGGTTTTCTTCTCAAAAACACCAATACAACCAACTCAGAACATTCACGAGATTCAATCGAATGACTCAATTAAAATTTGAGAATATAGGTCTAGGAGTTTATTGGCTATGATTGGGCATACAACCATCCAACCAATCAACAAACGATAACTATTTATATCTGTACAACTAAAATCTTACCGATTATCTTCAATAAAGCTTTCTTGTGAACTTCCAATCAGTTCATCTTCCTCTTGACTGTCCTCAGGATTATCAGGTTTCTTCACATTATCTTCTACTTTCTCCAGAATCTCATCTGCATTCTTTTCCTCAGGAGTTAGCTTTTCGATGGTTTTATCCTTATCTATAGTCTGAACTTCGGTTACTGAAGTTGAACTGGAAGCAGTTGATGATGATATCTCAATCACTGAAGCAGAATCGGTAGAAGACTTACCAGCGGTTGCTTCAGCACAGCTTTCAGCAGAGGAGATGTCGATAGTCGAGGGAATATCCTGGAAAAATTAGTTCGTTAAATTGTTAAAATTTTAATGAATACCGGTTCACAGAGCTTAGAGATGAATAAATGATATTGAACAATGAATGGCTTGATGCATCAAAAATTAAAGTCATGCATGAAACAAAACATATTAGTTAGTTGAGATTTGAGAATATACCAAATAATTTCATTCATTATAAACAAAATACATATCTCGCCTTTAAATATCAAACAAAAAGGATTATTCACAGCATTTTAATATGACGCCTTTATTTTTAATATCGAGGAAAAATCTCATCTTATCCTAATCTTAAATTTCTTTTAACAGCTAAGGTGTAAGCGTAAATTCAGAGACCTACGGTTCCTTTTAAAGAGGTGCATGTCCGAATTACAAGGATATCCTTTAAACCTTTTTGAAAGATAAAGTCGACATTTTTATTTACATAGTGGTAAATCAAGTCTCAAGAAACCGCGCGAGTGTACACTAGCAAGGAATGTACAGTGTTCACTGTGACCTCGAGTCTCCCGGTGTCATGCAGCGAACTCTAGCATGGGGCGGACTTCCCCGAAGGTTTTAACAATTTCAACACTGTTAGAATAAAAAGCAATGTTACGAAATTTTCCAATATATATTTCTGTACTTTGATTTTGAAAACACATTAAAAATTTCTATGTCTCGATTAAATATTAATTGTATGAAAGAAAGACGACATTCAAGAGAAAAAACTTTTTTTTGCCTTTACCCCCATCAACATAAATTAATAGCTAAATGCGTATTCAATATATATCAACTAATAATCTTTAATGTTTTACACTTGCTTTTAATGTTCAACATTGTGGTAAAATGGTTAAAACTTAAGGGTTCGAGTCCGTCCCACTCAAAAGTCTGTTTCATGCAGGACACTGGCACTCAATCTTCAGCTAAATAAATGAGAATATCTACCTCATTGTTGTCGTACACCTGTAAATCTGATATGCATCTACTCAACAAAATGGAAGGGCAGTTGAAGTTAAGCTTACAATCTCTTCAAAGGGACTAGATACGTAATTATTGCAAAAATTCATTTAACAAAAGACGAATGTTTTTAAACGAAGACCATTTTTAAATCAAGTTTTATCTGTTAAATAAATTGAATTATTAATCGACACGAAGTTTTTTGAGTTATCTTTTTTAAACCCCTTTTAGCATCACAAACCTTATGCACGGGAGTAATAACTTCTACGGAACTAGATTCAGATTTAGCTTCCTCTGTCTCCTTGATCTTTTCCTCTTTCTCATCGGTTTCACTTTGGCTGCTTTGCGAGTCACCAAATATTTCTCGTTGCAGTTCTCTTCTTGTTTTCTTCCTACAGAAGAATATGAAGTGGGCGAAAACAAATATTTTAGAAAAAAGTGAGTAAAATTAAAATAAAATTTCATTTCTTAAATTTTATCTCCATTTTTTTTCACATCTTGCAAACGATTTTTGGCTATTTTAACTTTAGAAAAATATATCATTGCCCCCCCCCCCCACCCAATTTCTGGTAGTAACTAGAGGATTAAATAACCTACCTAGCGGGGTTAATGGGGGATGTTTCCGGAAGACTTGTTCGCTTCCGTTTTCCTTTTCCTACTTCGGGTTCAAATCTTTTATTCTTTCTAGACTTCAGACTAGCTTTAGCGTCGGACAGAAGAGACTGACTGGGACTCATCTCCGTTTTTTCTTCCACTGGGCTTACTTCTGATATTGCGTATTTTGTATCTTTGTCTGCTTTTGCGGATTTTGCATATTCGTCGGTTTCAGCTTTTTCGGTATTTGCATCAATATCGGTTGTGGATTTTACATCATCGTTAAGTAAGGCATCATTTTCAACAATTTTTGCATCATTATTAGTATATGCGTTGTCAGCGACAATATTTTCACTTTTTTCCATCTCTGCCGATTTTTTAGCAAGAAATCTTGTGACTCCGTCACTAGTACAGCTTACACTATCATCAAAAGAAGGTTGTGAGAGGAACTGACTTGGTAGCTGGATAAAAGAATCATCCCTAGAAACAATAAATGATTGAAACGTGGAATTATTCAACAATGTAGTTGATTTGACTGACATAAATTTAGAGGAATGTTCATCATAAGTTTATTTAACAAAAAAAATACAAAAACTAATCTTAGACTACAAGTTAAATTACCATATTCAAGAAAAAAAAATTATTTTCCAAAGATAAAAAACCTTAATATTTCTACAGCAAAGAAAAAGTATACCCCTGAAAAAAACTGAGATTTATTTACTTAAATCTTATAATCATAACTTGTTTATATCAATTTATTTAAGTAGAAAAGACATAAAATAGTAAGTGTTTTATAATAAAACAGAAGACTCCTTAAAATTTCTCAACGATTTTTAATTTCGCCACGAGTCATGCTAGGAATATAGATTTTTTTAAAAGGTTTTTATTGATGATTAGGAAAAAACATATTCTGATTATATCAGAAATGAAAAAAAAATGAAAAAATGCCAAATTAATTGAACTTTTTAAAGATATTTGCCCCTGAAAAAAATTGTACCTGGATAGTTCACTGTATAGAGCTGGAATATCATCATGTCGAGCTGTTAAAACTTCCTTCTGGTGCTCGGTTAACTTACGTCTTCCCGCCTGAACAGTGAATAAGTTAAAAAGGAGAATTAACAAAAATTTTATTCTTAATCCGCGCATAACACGCTCAGTGTAATACCTTCCCCTGAGCAGTCTAACTTAAGACGTCAGACAACCCTTGATTGCTTTACTGTTGTAGGTTGCTAACTGTATGAATATATATCCCCGGATTTAAACTTAAATCCTTCAGCTTAAAAGGTTACTTAATAAATATTGAACTCCGTCTATGAAAGCTATCGCAACAAAAAAATGTTAGCCTCATAGTTCACTACAAATTAGACAGAAGGCGAAGGTAACATAGCAAAATCACCGGTAAGGCTTTATGACCTCATAGCTCCTTTAGTTTTAATTTGACGCACAAGAAGGAGAAAAGCAAATTTATTACATTATATAACACAAATCCATAACATTTCTCTTAATACCTCTTTAAGAACAGAATTTACAATTAAACATATTTAAGATTTCAATCTTATGTGCAAATAGCTTTAGTTTGATCATTGATGAGAGTTGAAGTCCAAAAATTGGATTAAGAAAAATGTGAATTTGTTCTCACTGAAAGGGACTGTTACCGTAATTTTAGTAACCCATCATTAAAAGAGTGGCATGCTCAATTCACAACTCTACACTTAAAAGATTTGTCTGATCAAGTAAGTATTAGATACACATGATCTTGTTTTTAAAAACTGCTTATTTTCATCTGTGGTTTCTCTACAGAAGTGACTTGCGCAATGCACATTTCTTGCTTCATAATTAATAGACATTTACAGGGTACCCTTGTGAATCGGAAATGCCTCTCTTAATTATAGTGTCACTTAATAATAGTGCTCAGGATTCGGATCCGTTGAATCCACAAGATTTTGGCGTCCTGGATCCGGATCCGCAAAAATATGCGTATCCAAAAAAATGTTTATTGTCAAAACCCAAATCTGAACTATTGAAAAAAGAGAGATCAGAAAATTTTCCTGATTTCTAAATTGTTCATCAAGTTTCAGCATACAAATCAGCGAACAAAATAATAAACTTAAATTATGCTTAAAAAAATGAAGTTTAAAAAAAATAACCTGGATCCGGATCCAATTTTTTCCAGTGCGGATCCAGGATCCGGATCCACATCAAAATTAAATGGATCCCAAGCATTGCTTAACAATATGATAACACTCCATTTATGATCATATTAGAGCTTATTTTAGTGTACTAGTAAGAAAAATATGATGTAATTAACACTTATCCGGAATTTGAAATCAGGGTTAGATCATACCTTAGCTTTGGGTTTTATAGGAACAAAATTGCAGGAATCATCATCTTCAATACTTCGAGACACACCCTTCCCCGTACTCCAAGGGGCTTTCATGCCTTAAACCAAACCTGATGTCAGGGAGGGGAAGGGGGGTCTAACGTCCCACCGCGGGAGTTCTTGGGAAGGGTGAAAAAACGACAATATTAAAATAAATAAACAGGGGCAAGAGGTGGGAGTTCTTCAACATATATATATCTCGTGAATATATCTTCTGACATTAATGTTTTCCTGGAGAATTTCTTGCAGATTCCCTAGCGGAGAATATCGAAGGTTTGACTGGGGATTTAGTTGTGAGATCTGTTCCCTTGTAGGGGGAATTCCGGGACACCAGGAGGGAATTCTTCAAGGGGGTTCCAGGCTTTCCAGTAACCTGAACACAAGACATTATAATCAATCAAATAAATGTGTATAATTCGTCGGTTGAAACGCAAAATAAATATCCTGTATGAACTACCTACATTGAAGGGGGGATTGTTATATTTACAAGTTTTTATTTCTCTCCCATCCCCAATTTTTTAAAATATATTCTCTCCTTTAAAGAAAACTGAAGAAAGATTTTTTAAGGAAAACGTGTTTTTTTTGGGGAGGGGGGGGGGGCACGGGGCGTGGCATATTATGAGTTAGGGCTTTCCAAACCAATCCCATATTCTTGTATTACTACCTGTATATTTGCCTCTATCCCTGGTTCAGTTGTATCCACAAACTCTGATGAGCTAGGGAAGGTATTTATTTCGCTGGAACCGCTGGAAACCTAGACAATAAGAGTTATAATTGTATCGTTCTGTTTTCCATTTATTACAAATTTATTGAAAACCTTTCCAAAATTCAAACAAATTTGCTCTAACATTATTCCAGCACGTTGTTTGGCGGGTCTTGACATTAGTCTATATTCTGTATCTGTGCATAGTGAAGGCCTTTAATATTTCAAATTTAGATTATTTGATCTAACATAGGTAATAGAATTACATATAACAGGTCTACGGAATTGGGTTACAAAGCTATGGGGATTTAAAATCAAAGTCTATGGCACAGACTCAATTCCATCTCGATTTAGCTCTGAGTTAACTTCTTTCCCTGCCGAGTGCTGACCCATCTGTTATCTTGGCCATAGAGTATGTTAATTTACCTGGGATTTGACGCCTGGAGAAGAAAACTTCTTGAGAGCAGCCTTGATACTCTTTGGTAGATCCTCCGAGGACAAACTTGAGAACGTTATCGTCCAAACCTCACTGGAGGATCAGATATATTAAACATAATGGTAAATAACGTTTTAATTTGACAAAAGGGATTTTTTTATTTCACCCGTCTGACAAACAGTCAAGTGTAAGGGACTGTTTTCATATGATTTCAAGTGCCCGTCTATTCCTTCTCAAGATATCCATGTTTTTCTTAATTTCCTGGCTTCTATTTAACAAATACTGAAGGATTTTTCTTCCAAAAAATGTAAGAAATTGTCAAAACTTAATGATGATGATCAGATAAAGGTTTACATGTCGAGTATAGATTGTCATGATTCTCCTTAATTGGAGGGTCACTTATTTTAAGTACAGTCCTTTTATGTATAATAAGAAAAATCTGCAAATTCAATACAATTTTATTTATAATCATAATGAAGAAGGAGCTCTCCAAGAGTTATCTTATTTGGTTTGGATTTCTATTCAGGGATAGTATGTAAATATATTTTCCTAATTTTATTTTTTATTTTTGATCTTGAAGACTGAAAAGATTGAATCAATAGTTCCTCCATATCTCCTTTAAATTATTTCGTTCAACCATTTTATCATATTTAATTTCGTTTCATCAAAAGAAAGATCTATAGCTAGGTTAAGCTAGATTTAAAAATATCAAAATAAATAAAATCTTAAAAATGTAATGCATAGAACATGTATATTTCATTTTCATTTATATTTTAATTAAAATTGCGTTGATAATTTCATAAATGATAATAAATGAGAGAACAGAACATTCCTAATAGATCAGTATCTTTAGTATGGCTGAACTTGTTTTCAAGCAGCGCACCAAGAAGATCTAACATCTTAGTATACTCATCATGAAGACCCAGTGAATCCAACCTGAACAGTTAAAATCAATTCTGGTTTTTCGCGGATTTGAACAAAGACAACGACAACAAAATCCATGAATATTTTATTTTTAATTCTTAGTGCTTAGGTTTAGAATCCAGATCTGTTGGATACGCAACATTTTGGCTTCCTAAATCCGGATCCGGATCCGCAAAAATATGCGGATTCACGTATCCGGATCCAAGGGGGAACATATCAATTTTTTCCAGGGCCGATCCGGATCCGCATCAGAATGATCCTAAGCACTGATTAAATTCTATTTCATTATTGATTAATTCTATGTTTCAATTCTATAGAAATATTAAATAGCGAATAGAGAATTATATTAATTTATAGCAATTTAAATTCGTTTAATCTTAAAACCCTAAACGTTTTTTTACGAAAACTCTCTTATAGTTACCTTTTCAGACTGTTTTCTCCTAGAAGATTCGTGATCTTAGGAAGAATAAGCTGCAAGAGAGGTTTTAAGAGATCCAAATTATCTACCCTATAATCATCAGTTATTATCGTCATCATTGTCATCATTGGCATCATGATCTTCATGGTCATCAATGTTATTGCTGTCATTATTGTCGTCGTCGTCATTGTCATCATGATCACGTTTATACCTGGAGAGCAGTGTCGAGTATGTGCTGAGTACAAGCTCTGATAGTTCTGAATCGTCTGTCTCTAATGAAAGTTGTGCAAGATGGTTCAGATGTTGAATAGTTCTTGTCACGGGTCCGATAGGGTTTACATGCTCACGCCGGAATCCTGCTAGAGGATCGGCCTTCTGCTTAAGTTCCCTGACAAAATAATAAATTCATACAGAGTGTCTGAAAAAACCCGCTCGTTTAGACATTGAATGTCTTATTGACATGGTTATTGTCAATTAGACATATGTAGTAAGAACAGTTTGAAATTTGACATTTTGGGCAGTTAATATTGTTATTGTGTTAAGTTAAAAATTATCCTTCTGATTAAATTTTATTTTTTTAGTATTTTATAACTACACAATACAAGAAGGAATATTGAAAAATTATAATTGATTTAAAAGCAGTATGGCTTGCATCGTGAAATTGGCGCCCAAACTCTAAGACCGGGCATTAAGTTATGGTAGCCCTTTCTTTGTAGTGCTCATCAGCAAGGAAATTTCTTTTTTGTATTTAATCTAAGGTCTTGCCATTCTTCAAGAATAATTGGGCATTATCTAGATATGTTTAGAAGATTAACATTTTTAAGATACTTATAAAATTCCATAATACGGTCAAATTCATGAGCTCAACCAAAATGTTAATTTTGAATTGTACTTAATTTGTGTACTATATACCTCTTATTAATATCAATCGGTCCAAAATATTCAAAATTTTAAAAATTGAACCATTAGTGTTTTAAAGTCTAAAAGCGTGTTTTTTTTTGACAACCTGTGTATTAATAAAATTCATTCTTATCTTTGAAAAATCTAACACTTCAACCATTTGGTTATTAAAACTTCTTAATTTTAATTTTCTCAATCCCCTATATTACTATTCTGTCTATTCATCTCTATTACAAAATACATAAATAAAACATACTTTTTTACTGGTTTCAGGCACCAAAAGTCTCTAGCTCAATAAAAATACCATGACAAAAATAAATCTTTGACCATGTCAAAATATAAATATTTTTTAACATAAATTCAATTCAAATCAAAAGTGAAGGCCTAATAAAAACTAATAAAATAATCTAATAACTTATTAAAGTTACAGGGTGGCCAAAACTTGTTTGAAAAAATCCGTACATTTTCAGAGGAAATCCGTACAATCTGTACGATTTTCGAAAAAAAATCCGTACAATCAGTACAATTTTTGAAAAAAAAATCCGTACAATCCGTACATGTTTTTGAACAAATCCGTACATTTTTAAAAAAATCCGTACAATTTTCGAAAAAATCCGTAAAATCAGTACAATTTTCGAAAAAAAATCCCTGCAATCCGTACATTTAAGAAAAATAAAACCATTTTTGAAAATATTATTCAACACTGTCTCACACCCTCCCATTCCCCACCACCTCTTNTACTGTTATCAATAAGAGAGAACTAGAGAACTAATGAACTAGATAAAAGAGAACTAGAGAACTAGAGAACTAGAGAACTAGAGAACTAGAGAACTAGAGAACCTGAGAATCAGAAAACCAGAGAACCAGAGAACCAGAGAACTAGAGAACCAGAGAACCAGAGAACTAGAGAGCGTTGATTCTAATTTTTAAAACTGTTTAGATCAGTGTGTAGGCCATTTAACAACCAAACAATTAAGTTATAATTAGAAAGAAAGAAGTGTAGATTTAGGATCTAATATAATTAAAAATAGCGTGGTACAGGGGTTGCACACTCAATTAAAAGAAAGTTAATATTTAACTAAAAATGAAAAGATTTACAGATAAACGGAAGAAACCTGAGATGATGTTCTCAGATCTGATAGAGACAGATAGATAGATAAATAAACAGACAGACAGATAGATAGACAGAGAAACAGATAGACACATACACATTTAGATAAACAGAGAGACAGATAGGATTTATAAACAGATAAATAAAAAGATAGATAAAATGGCATGCAGATAGATAGACAGATAGATAGACAGATAGATAGACAGTTAGCTAGACAGTTAGCTAGACAGATAGCTAGACAGATAGACAGATAGATAAACACATTCTCAAATGAACACTTCTGGAACATATTCTCAAATGAACACTTCTGGGATCTCGAAAATTATGAATGAATTTTGATTGTCAATTGAAACGTTAATCAATCTAATATTATTTAGAATGCAGAAAATAAGTTAAAACTAACTTCATTTTGACGAGATTTTTTTTTGAAATTTTCATGAAAAACTTGCTGAAATGAGTGAAAATTAAAAAAAACCGGTGTTTTTCCGGGATAAAAATCAGTACAATCCGTACAATTTGAAAAGAAATCCGTACATTCCGTACAATTTTAGGGTTACAAAATAAAAAATCCGTACAATCCGTACATTTTGGCCACCTTGTTAAACTAATACCTGGAAATTGCTGAAAAAATAATGTTCTCTACTAGAACTTGAATACATCTTCCCTGGTTTACTAACATCCAACCTTTTAACTCATTCTCCTGAGATAGAGTAAATTAATGCCAGAGGCGGTGAATATTTACATGAAAAATCATTTCCACCCTTCTGAAAATCATTTTTCACTCCAGAAGTATGTTTTAGGCTTTCGATGAAGTTAAGTATTAAATTTTAAGATGTTTTTATTCATCTTTAGAATGACGTCACTGGATCGCTAAAAATCGCAATTTGAATACAACAAATTTACCATTTATCAAGGTACTAATGCAAGAGGTGTACGGCATTTTTGTACTGCAGTGTTCTGTCTTTGGGCGGAAAAGTAAACACAAGACGGATGTCACAGCCTGACATGGAATCCAATTCACAAATATAATCTATGAAATATTCTGGTCATAGAAAACTATTGTGAATTTTCAAAATTATCAAAATTAAATGCTTTTAACCTCCTCGAATACTAAACGAATACTGATGCGTCTATTCTTGTTTACAAATTCCGCCAAGAGAGAACTGGTTTCAATATGTACTGTACGAGTATACACGACCGCAATTAACTTTCCTTGCACCTTGCCATTTATAAAGAAATAATTGCCGGAGAACAAAAATCTTGTGGCATGGAAGGTTGTGACTCATGGCTGCCAGAAAGGCAAAAAAGCTAATATGTAGCATGGAAGGAAAAACGGTTGTGGCTTATGGCCGCATGCCTTCCCCCGCACTTCACACCGCTTTCATGACCATTACCAAAATTGAAAGAATAAATTTGAAATTTAAGGAAAATTGAAGAACTTAGATAAATTTAAAATTTATCTCCACAAGAGGAGGATTTATAAAATATTTTCTTCAAAACTTTACTATGAATTAAAACCCACCTGGGATTTGAAAATAGTAATTAATATTTCTGTAACTTCAGAACAGATCTGTCCACTCTCGTATCCAATCGTTACTTCACCCTAAAATAGTAATTAATATTTCTGTAACTTCAGAACAGATCTGTCCACTCTCGTATCCAATCGTTACTTCACCCTAAAATAGTAATTAATATTTCTGTAACTTCAGAACAGATCTGTCCACTCTCGTATCCAATCGTTACTTCACCCTAAAATAGTAATTAATATTTCTGTAACTTCAGAACAGATCTGTCCACTCTCGTATCCAATCGTTACTTCACCCTAAAATATAAAAGTCAATAGTTAAGCAGAAGATTTTCTAAGCACCCACTCTGTGCCCGGGAAAAAATCTGACATCTAAAGGCAAGATTTTCACCCTTGTTGGTACTTTCTAAAATTTAGGTTGCCCCCCAAATATCATTCTCCTAAATTCAGCAAATAAACCCCTAAAAATTATACCTACCATGGGAAGAAAACAATAAATAAATTGGGAGAAGGGGGGGGGGGAAAATTTTTTAAGATAACATATGCACCCTAACATTTATTGTAATCATTCAAACTCTTCAAGCTATTTTACCAAATCAGAATACTTGAGAATGGACAGAAAATATTTAGTTAAGTGAATGCATCATGGACACTGTAAAACTGGGAAGATTTCCCCTGTTTTTTTTTTTTACTTATTACACAAAATTTCTTTTATACCCAAGTCCGCTAAAACCTACAAAAGAATACATTTCTTAAATAATGAGAAAATAAATATTTCTGAAGAGGGAAAAGAAACAATATCCCCCATGCTTTAAAGTGCAGTATACCTGGTTACTAAGAGCTGAGTAAAGGTTTGCCCAATCCCTCCAAAACCTTGTATCCTTGTCCCCAAGGAACTGTACAGGATATCTTAAAATAATAGAAATTTTAAAACAAATTTTAAATGACTTAAGTTTTGATTTCATTGATCTATGATAATGAAAATTACTATTTTGCTCTACAAATCTGTATCGCTGTACAGCTAGACGGGCAAATCAAATCAAATCAAATCAAATCGCTAGGTATTTTCCAACAGCTTCTTGATCTGGCCGGATTATGCTATCACAATCCCTTCCATATTAAGGCTTTTCACTGTAAGGGGGTTCGATTTTCTCAACTCAACTAATTGGAATTGGAGGAGATTTGGATATACAAGCAGCATTTAGAGGAGACGGTTAAAAAAATAAATCAAAATTTCCATGCGAAACCCGGTTTTTGAAAGTCAGTAAATTCAGTTTTTAGCTCTAGATCAAACAATTTAAGATATCGATACGAAAACAAATGGGCAGTAATCAGCTGCTTCTTACGCATCTTAATTAAATAACCAAATCGACATATTTTTTTATTACAATTTTAATTTTACAAAAAAATCTTTCTAAAAGTTGTTCAGATTGACAATATCCATCCAATACCAACTGACAATACAATATTTATATTTTAAAAATTATGTAAAAATCGACTTTCCTTACTTTTAAGCCTGACTTGGTTAAAGTCTACCGTCGGAATCACGGCTATATTTGACCCACGATACCGGTCTGAATACTATACCACGACATCCACATTTCTACAGAACCATTTAACGCTACTTTTTGCAACTTCTCATCGCTAATAAAATCAATTAAGATCTCTCAATTCTGAAACCGTTAAAATCGTCTAGAGCTAGCATTATTTGAAATGCTGAGTCCATCACCAATGTTTGGGAAAATAAACCTGAGAAACAGCAGTACACTACCAATGTTTACTGTAGTTTCTCAGGTATATTTGTAAACATTGGTAGTGTACTGTAGTTTCTCAGGTTATATTTGTAAACATTGGTAGTGTACTGTAGTTTCTCAGGTATATTTGTAAACATTGGTAGTGTACTGTAGTTTCTCAGGTATATTTGTAAACATTGGTAGTGTACTGCAATTCATCAGGTTATATTTTCCTAAACATTGGTAGTATACTACAGTTTCTCAGGGATATTTGTAAACATTGGTAGTGAACTGCCATCATCAGGTATATTTGTAAGTATTAGGAGTGTACTGCAATTCATTTGGTATATTTGTAAACATTGGTAGTGTACTGTAGTTTCTCAGGTATATTTGTACACTACAAATGTTGACAAATATACCCAATAAACTGCAGTAAACGACCAGTGTTTACAATTGTACCTGATGAATTGCAGTACACTACCAATGTTTACAAATATACCAAATGAATTGCAGTACACTCCTAATACTTACAAATATACCTGATGATGGCAGTTCACTACCAATGTTTACAAATATCCCTGAGAAACTGTAGTATACTACCAATGTTTAGGAAAATATAACCTGATGAATTGCAGTACACTACCAATGTTTACAAATATACCTGAAAAACAGCAGTCCACTACCAATGTTTACAAATATACCCGAGAAACTGCAGTACACTAAAAATGTTTACAAATATACCCAATTAACTGCAGTACTCTACCAATGTTTACGAATATACCTGAGAAACTGCAGTACAGTACCAATGTTTACGAATATACCTGAGAAACTGCAGTACACTACCAATGTTTACGAATATACCTGAGAAACTACAGTACACTACCTACGTTCAAAAATATACCTGAGAAACAGCAGTACACCACCAATGTTTCAAAATATACCCGATAAATTAACTATCAACGTTTACAAATATACCTGAGGAACAGCAGTACACTAACAATGTTAATTAATAAACACGATAAACTTAAGTACACCTTCACTGTTTGAACTCTGGTTTAAAAGAGTTAATCAAGTATCTGTGAGAAACTCCAGACAATCAGATGATAAAACCAGACTGACTAAACAGAGAACCAACACCACCATCAGAAGTAATTTCTTTACCCAAAGAGTCATTGATGATTGGAACCAGTTACCCCACCACAATTAGAGAGTTCCAACATATCAAGATGTTTAAAAGAAATCTAGATGAATATCTATCTTTTTCTGAGATTAACTAATCCTGAGAGAATGATTAGTTTCCCAGAAGAAGACTGGATGGAAAAGATGTTACTAAATGCCCCTAGCGGGGGCTACACCAACTACTTTCTAAGTATACAATTAAGTATAAACAAATACCTGATGAATTGCAGTACACTACCAAATGAGTATTGAGTCCCTTTATTTTCTCCCAAAACTTCCCATTCAGAGATACAACGAGCCAGAAGCTGCCAAACTGTAGACATGTTATCTAATCCTAAATATCAATCAATCAATCAATCAATCACCAAAACAAATTAATCAAAGAGTCAATCAAAATTAAGTCCTTCAATTAATCAAGCAATCCATCCCTGAATCAATCAACTAACCAATAAATAAATCCGTCAATTAGTGAATTAACAAACATTTTTCTTTTAATTCCCCGGGGGAGGGGGGAAACATAAATATTACACAAAACTATATTTAACTACCTATGAAGGAAAGGTTTGGAGTGACTAACTCCATCCTCTGCAAGACCTCAACTAGATCTCCCGGAGATCTAACCTTGCTCAACCAAACCTCCAGGATACTATGCAGCTCCTACAATTCAAGTTGGCCATTATTATTTTCAGTTTTTAAATATTCAGGATTTTTAGACTCTCATGAGACTCCACAAAAATCTTTGAAAATAAATAAATTTCATAATTGTTATCTCTAGAAGTATACTCTATTGCACTCAACTTGACTCTCGCAGAAGATGTAAGCATTAAGCCTGCACGATTATTCAACGAACTAATGATTTGCTTTGTTTAGGCTCAAACCTTCTGTCCGAGTGAAAATTTTGCACAATTTATTTCAAAAAATAAATATAAAAATTTATTGCTAATAATTGAATTATGTGAAAATTTGAATAATTTTTTGAAGCCGTCTAAAATGCAAAAAATTCTAGAATATCTTAAAAACGGGTAATGACGACTTTGGTTAAAAGATGGAAAAGGATGAAAAAAAAAAATAGTTTTACTAAGAATTATTATGATTTTTCTTAATTTTAAAATGAATAATAAGGTTTCAGTAAAAGTATAAGTAAAAACACCTTAGTTTCTTCCTTAGAGTTCAGAATATTTTCATTCAGAAGAATCTTGAGAACCAGTAGAAGCGGAGATATCTATTTTTTATATCAAATTATCATTTAACAGTTTAAGCAAGCTTTCATCAATCAAGGTATTTAACAGATTTCAATCTTTTACTCATTCAACAACTTGTAAAAAATAATGAACATATGAAATCAATCCAATGGTTTAAATCAAAATATGTCAACTAATCCATCCGTCAATACATCAACCAGCAAATCCATCAATACAACATTTCATAATTGGCCAATTCCATCATATTTTAACCCCTTTTTTGGATTCATTGACCCGACTATGTATCAACCAACACTACCGATCAACACTATTCAGTCGTAAAAAATCAACTAGAAAAATTAATATAAGTATATTTGTTTTGATCAATTCCTTTTTCTCCATACTATTGAGAGAGTAGATGTGGCTGAGTAGAATTGAATCTGGAAACTTGATAACAGTTCCAAGAATCTCAAAGAGGATACTGTGCAGTTTCTCTTGTCTCCTACAATATATCAGGGTAAGGGAAGGCCTATAAAAAATTTGCACCAAATTCTGTAATCGTTGGGTGTACGAATGTATAATAGTTATAATGGATTTGCACCAAAACATGAATTTGAAAACAAAATTCAACTCACCAATATATGTGTAAATTATCGTTACGACATATACCCATTTTAATTAACTGTAAACAGAGCTGGGAACTATTGTATTTGAATATCGAGATCAATGTTTGATCTCGATCATTCGTTAATTCGCAGATTAATCTAATCTTTATTCGATATCCCGCATAGAAATCGTACCCTGGAGGAATAATTGAAATGAAGAGATATATCCTCAAATGAAAAGTGCCCACAATGGAAACGAAGATCAAGCCAACAGAATTATGAGTTCAAACAAAAAAATTTCCAGCTCAGACAACTTGACCAGTTTATACCCACCAGAATTTGAAAACAAATTCTCTAAAGGGCCCACCCTTGCAAGATATGATATGATTAGTAGTATACGATTTTTAGTTTTACCACTTAACCTACCATCAATGCATCTGGATGAACTAACCAGGTCATCAAGTAATTGTATAAAAATAAACGAACAAATCGGACAAAAAATGTAAAGATTCTGCTTTATTAAAAAAAAATCAGTAAATCTTAAAGAAATGACCTGGATCCAGTGCGGTTCCAGAATCCAGATGCGGATCCGCATAAAAATCATATGGATCCTGATCCCTGGTCAACTAACTAACTCGTTTCTGATATCCTTTATTAACCAATCTAATTAGTAATATGTGGCTTTTCTCAACTAACTACCCTGTTAAGTAAGATATTTTCTTAAACTAACCTGATGATATGTGATATGCAATCTTTCTAAACTAACTGATAAGTGATAAGTAGTCTTCATAAACTAACTAACCTGTTAAGTGATATGTCGTCTTCCTTCAAACAAACTGACCTGAGTTTATTAGAAACCCTGTAGACAGATCTGAGGTAGTTAAGAACCGGTTCTAGATGGTTTGGTAGGCTGGTGAGCTGCACAGCTAGGTCTCCTACTCCAGACCAGATTACACCAATCTTCAGATTCTCAGATCTAAGTTCATATGACTACGTTAGTATCACGTGTATATAGGATTAACAACTAAGGATAAGACTGCAGAGACGATGGGTCGATATGTTAATCAGTCTTTTTCATGAATTCTTGGTCCACTGCAATTAGTTCCTAACAAGAATTTGCAAAAAAAATTTCGCCTTTTACCCCACATTTCGTTCGCTTGCGAAAAAACAAGAAAGTTTTCACTTTTTTCGCAAAATTTCGCTTCAATCTGATTCGTGAAGAAATGCGAAATTTTCGCGGAACAGAAAATTAAAAAATTCTGCGAAAAAATGTGAAATTTGAAAAATTCATTATTTTTGCGCGAATTCATCAAAAAGACAAAATACAGAATCCCGAAATTTGTTTTCGAGAAATTTCGCTTCTTTTCGCATTTTTCGCCTTATTCATTTTCGCGAAATTTCGCGAAAAAGTTGGCGATATGCGAACAAAATTTTCGCATTTTTTCCCCGAAACGTCTCGTTCGCTGCAAACCCTATTACTAACCAATAAATACAGCCTACTGTAAAAAGATCGTATTCTTAGCAGACATCCAAATTCAACCCCCTCAGATTTGTAATATTTACATGTCAGTCATTATTCTCATATTTTTTAGGATCAAAGTCAATTTTAGAACCAAGCTTGAGGTGCAGTTAGGAAGGTTGGTCAAAACTATTTCAACCCTCTGGAAGGTTCACGCGTCCTTTTTTGCAAAAGAAAAGTCACAAGTAAGACCGACTATATAATAGATATATTGATTTATGGCCAACTGTTCAATACAAAACCAGTTACTATATATCAAAAAACTAAACTGTGGACAGTACAGTGGCTTGAGACACATCTTTTGATACCTAAATCAATATATTTTAAATAGTTGTTATCAACTTTGCCAACTGAACTGCAAATGAAAAGTTAAGTTAATCGACCAACTCTAATATTTTCTATAAAACCCTGCATTATTAATATAATATTGCAAGACAAAACAAACCCTCTTTATTTACAAAATCAAGTAAAGAAATGCTCCCAAATTTTTCACTCCTTCGATCATAACTCGGGAACCCCTGGACTGATTTGCCTCAAATTTTGATTAGAGAATTCGGGAGAATGTTTTTAAGTTTGGTTTTAAGATTCAAAGTTAAGAGGGTTGACTTTAATAGCAAAAACTTGGTTTCCAGGTAAAATCGTTCAAGTGCGGGTAACCGGCAGCCGTAACTATGAAAAACCTGGGCAGCGCTGGGTTCCCAAGCTTATATTGTATAATGGTGGTGATAAGGGGTTCCAAATATAGTTTTTTTGTTCAGTGTATACTGTATAACCCACTTGCATTAAATTTGCATTATTTTACTAATGGAAAAATAACTAGAAACTTCTAAAGCAGATTTTATAATGTTAACCACTGTTAAGATGTCCTTGAAGTCCAAAAACTAAACCCCTTCAAATTAGTAACGATATCTGTTTTTCACCTGTTAGAATATTTGATATTTTCTGTAATCTCCTCCAGAGCATTCAGGATAATCTCAGACAATTCTCCAAACTAAACATTTAATAAATACAGGGTGAGTCAAAAAAAGTGTGATTTGTGGCGCATGGTGCAAAATTGTAGTTTTTTTTGTGCAATTCTCCTGTATGGTGTTTTTTCAATATTTTTTGAAAATTTGTTATTTTTTTGGTACTCCAATAGCCCAAAAGAAAATTCACGAATCTTTTTTCTCTCAAAATCAAAAGTTCAGAAAAGCAAAAATGTGCATTCATATTATTTCTCTCTAAATCTAAAATTTTATAAAGATTGAATCACAGAATCACAGAAAATTGGCAAAATTGTAATAACAAATTCGCAATTTTCAGTTCTGGGCTAATTTTTGAGGAAAAGTTATTTAAATTCTCTAGTTCCTTTCTTTTTAGAATATTCTAAAGCATTTAATATACGCTGTTCAGTTAAAATCTTAAGAACCATTGAAAAACAATTTTCTGTAAAAATTATACCAGAACTGAAAATTGCGAATTTTCTAATTACAATTTTGCAAATTATCTGAGATTCTGTGATTCAATCTTTTTAAAATTTTAGATTTCGATAGAAACAATTTACTTACACATTTTTGTTTTTCTGAACTTTTGATTTTGAAAGAAAAAAGGTTCGCGGATTTTTTTTTTGGCCATTGAAGCACCAAAAACATACACATTTTCAAAAAATATTAAAAACACCATACAGATGAGTTGCACAAAAAAAGTTACACTTTTGCACCAGGCGCCGCAAATCACACTTTTTTTGACTCACCCTGTAAGTGTTTACAGGTTGTCTTAAAAATAACTTGAGTTGAGATCACTAAACTAATTTGCGGTATTCACTCGTCAACCTAATTTTACAAATACAATAATTTAATTATTTTTTTTAAAATACCAAGGAAGTCAAAGAACAAAAATATATAAAAAAAGATTTTTTTTGTATTATCCCCGGACACTCCCCCCCCCCCCCTTTTTGATGACATTTTTTCCCAGATATTGGGTAAGTTTGCGCGCATGGCAATAGTTGTTTTGGGATTGTGGAGTTTGGTATATTAAATGATTTTGAGCAGAAAACAGTCAAGGAAAAAACGATATAAAAAACTTTTCTTTTCATGTTTAATTTTCCATTTTTTCCGAGCATCGAAAACCATTTCCCCGGGACTGAATGCCATATATAATAAATAAGTTTGATATTCAAGCAGTTTCTCAACTGTCATGTTCCAGGGCACATTGTTTTTCATTTCATGGCTACACTGAATTAATTGTTTTGTTTTTTTAATGCCAGTCACCAATAACTACTATTTAATTAACATAAGCTGTGCAGTGTGCATTAGCCTATGTCAAAATCAGTCAACTTTTGGTACAGATAAGAGTGGTCGCTCATGTGGTGCCCAAGGACAGGTTTGTTAAACAAAATATTTTTA